TTCAGAATTAGTCAAATTCAGATAAAGATAAGAATGAAAATGAAAATGCAATATTATTTAAAATTTTCTTTTTTTTAGTCTTGCATGATATATAATTTCTTCAGTAAGTTATCAAGAAATAATTATTATAGATAAAAGATATATAAAATTATACTTTGATAGATTATTAAATAAGTATTATTTTAAGTAAAAAAAAAATAAAATACCAAAGTATAATTATTACAGAGGTATATATAATAAAATTATATTTTGATAAGTTATCAAATAAAAATAATAATTTAATATTATATATTTTATTTTTGAGTAATATTTAAATAAATTATATAAAGTTAATAATTACTAATAATTTGGTACTATATATCTTATCAAAATAGAAATAATAATTTAATAATCAAAATTAATATACTTTAATATAATATACTTAATAATATTTTTTGATAATATAGTGATATAATTATAATCTATACAGATTATAATTATACCACTTAATTTGGACTATAATCATCCTTATTAATGATTGAATCATGTGTATATTATCATTTGAATAATAATTAGTTCATGAGTTCATCATCACACTTAGATACTCATGATCTATAAAAAATATGATGATGAATTTATATTCACATCATCATACTTAAATATCTCACAATCTATAAAAAATATGTTAATGATACATTCAGTTGCATATTATTATTTATAGATCTAATGTGAGGGCTATACTCAAACTGGATATATAATACTCTAGCTTTCTGATTAATTTCTCAATAAGAGTCAGATTTGAGATACGTAGTGCTAAAAAGTATTTATATTCTGACTTTGTATAATATATTTGAATATTAATCAAGAATAAAACACATAATACCAAATTATTAATATATTTGATAATATATTAAAGCATCTGATGATAAAATATATAATACCAAATTATTAACATATCTGATATTATATTAAAGCATCTGATAATAAGGTATATAATGCTGAATTACTAACTATTATAATATACTCAAGTATTAATTAAGAATTACTAAATTATTATTTCTATTTGATAATACATTAAAGCACAAATTTATTTTACCTTTTTCCTTATAATATTCTATCTTGACATATTATTAAAAGTTTGCTATATTTTTTGATTCTAGAACTTTTTCTCATATAATTAATACTTTCAAATACTTTACTTTATATTAAAAAAATTGGATTATATTTTTGATAATCTTGATATATTATTAAATCAGTTATATTTTTAATAATCTTTGACATATTACTGAATTAACTATATTTTTGATAATCTTGATATATTACTTTTTTAATAATCTTGATATATTACTGAATTAGCTATATTTTTAATAATCTTAATGTATTACCAAATCTGTTATATTTTTAATAATCTTAACATATTACTAAATTAGTTATATTTTTGATAATCTTAATATATTACTGAATTAGCTATATTTTTAATGATCTTGACATATTACTAAATCAGTTATATTTTTAATAATCTTAATATATTACTGAATTGATTATTTTTTTGATATCCACTTTTTTTACTTGACTTAGTGACCCATAAAAGTATAATTTCTCTATGTAGAGTATCTATAATAATTATATCTTGGTAATCCAAAATTTTTTGACATAAGTTATCTCTACTTAAAGTATATTGTAATCAATCACCTATTCATATAGTACAGTAGATATGATACAGCATATGGTGTAGTCATAGTATGTGATGCAGTAATCATCAATCACTACTAAATCAGGCAAATAAGTAATTTTATTAATTAATCTTATTTATAAATAATTTTATTTTTAATCTATATTATTATCCATATTTAGCTATGTATGTCATGCTTAATTTATAATTTTATTAAATTAATAATTTCTTAATTAATTATTATTAATTTTCTTTTATTTCTCACTTTAACTTTGAATAATTTAATATTTCGCTAATTTTAAATTCTTTATTATCATGTATTTAATATTCCTTATGATTATTCTTTTTAAATTTTACTTGTTCTTAATTAAATTAAGTGAAACATCATGTTAGAAATAATTTATAATTAGCATAACAAGAAAATGTTATATATAGAGAATCAAGAAGTGATCAAGAAGAATAATTAAGTTTGATAGAAGTAATTACTACTGAGTTAAGAATAGTTAATTAGTATTTTTCTTTAATAAACACATATATTTTATCTTATATCTTATCTTATTTTCTTCTTGCTCTATTGAGAGAGTATTTTGTTAGAAGTAAATTCACATATATTATCTTATTGAGAAGATAATCATATTTTTATTATAAGTAAAATATGTATAAATTATTTTATTGAGAAGATAATTATATTTTTATCAAAGTAAATCTTGCATACATCATCTTATTGAGAAAATAATCAGTCATATAATCTCTTGAAGTTATAAAAGTAAATAATTGCCATAAATACAATTACTATTACCATTTTAAAATAATTATATATACATAATCTTAAAATGGTAATACTATATAAGATTCTAAAAATTCTGTATCAAGTAATTTTTTATATTAAATTATAGAACTAGAATCTTTTTTAAAGTTATCATTACTATTCTCATTATTACTATTCTTGTTATCAGCATTATAAATATGATTACCTATTTTATAGTTTGTCATTTCAATATTAATATAATCAAAAATTAAATTTTCTTTAACCTATTTATAGTAATTGATATATCATAATATTTAAAGGAATACTAAATAAGTTTAAGATCAATTACTTCCTATATATTTTTAATCTATTTCATAATAATATTATATACAGAATACTAAATATAACTAGTAGATGTTAAATTCTTTATTTTTTCTAATATTTAATTATTATAAATTATTCTAATCTTTAAAAATAAGAGTTATAAAGATAAATAAAAAAAGAATATCATAAGAATAAATAAAAAAGAATATTATAAGAATTATAAAGGATAAATAAAAAAAGAATATTTATAATTCATAAGAGTTATGAAAAGTAAATAAAAAAAAATATTTATAATTTATAAGAATTATAAAGGGTAAATAAAAAAAGAATATTTATAATTTGTAAGAATTGTAAAGGATAGGCAAAAAAAAATAAAAATTTGTAATTATAAAACTGTAAAGTTATAAAATAAATAAAAAAGTTATAATATAATAATATCAATCTTTAATTTAAAGAACTTATTAATAAATACATCAAGTAGTTGAATTTTTGAAGTTAACTCTTTGAGAATAATAGTTAGATTAGTATTTTTTTAATATTTATTCAATTCTGATTATTAGTTTGAATTATTATTTTAGAAAAAATAAGATATGATATCTTTTTGAGCTTGAAAATAATTATAGATAATAACTTTTTTTTATCTGCTATATAGATAAGAATAATAGTAAATTCTGACTTTTTATGATTATAAGTTCTAATAGAAATTATTTTATTTTCTATTTTATTTATAGTAATATTACTTAATAGATCAAAGATAAGTAATATCTCATCTATATTTTTTATCAAAGACAAGAAGTATTTATGATTAATTTATTTATAGTGAACATAACTAAGAAATTCTTGATATTTTTCTTTAAGATTCTTAGATAACTTTTGAGTGATAGTTATTTTTTGATGATTGCTAAATTTAAAATATTATATAAAGTTATCTAACTACTTGTTACTTTACTTAAAGGAATTGATATTGAAATATTAAGTAATATATTTGATATTTTTGGTCAAGATAACTATTTTTGTTTAAATTATTAATTGGATAATAACTTTCAGATCACAGTAGAAATTTTTAATTTATTTTATAAGCTTATTTTCAATTTTAGGATAATGGAAATGTAAACTAGTATTAAGATATTTTAGATAAGATCAAACAAGCATCAGTTCTTGTTTTTTATTATGCCAATTACAAATTTGTTTGGATTCTAGATAAAATTTATTAGCTATTCTATGAATAGAGATATCTAGAACTTTCTTAAGATAGATTAAAATGAATAATTTTTCATGAGTTATCTATTGATATTTCTTTTTTTAGTAATCCTAGTCTTATTATTTGTTTGAATTATTTTTATAAGGCAAAAAAAATTAGGATTAAGAAAAAATACATCAAAAATTTTATGTTAGAATTAGAGATAAATAGAGTAGAAATAAAAAATAAAAATATAAAATTGCATATTATGATCTTAAAATTTGATTCATTTTATTTAAATATATTATAATATCACAAATCTTGTAAAAATATAAATTATTTTTTTTCAGAAAAAGTAAATTAACTTAATTTATATCTTCAAAAAATAACTAATTATGATTTAATAATTATAAATATAATAACTTAATTAATTATCAAGTGAAAAAGTTCTAATTTAACTTAGTTTTTATTAAATGATAAGATAATTTATATTATATATATTTATCATTTAATATATTTTCTAATATAAAATTCTCCAAATAGTATATTTTTTTAATACAAGATTCTTCAAATAGTATACTCTTCTCTATATAATATATCTGATAGATATATTATTAGAGATTCCAGATATTTTATAATATAATTTATGATAATTATTTTTTTTATAATTATCTTTTTTTTCAGTTATTAATTAATTATAATTTAAAAAATTTCTTTATAATTATATTTTTTTTAGTTATTTAATTTTATTTTTTCATGATAAGATCTAATCACAAATTTTATCATGTGACAATTTTTGATTGGTTGTCTTGGATGGCCATGTGATATATAATTAGTTTCAAAATTGTAAATAAGAAAAAGTAATAAACTTTAAACAGTTATTACTTCATGAAAAATTATGTAAATTGAAATTGGCTTTCATAGACTGAAAGCTTGTAAACTATTCTATTAGTTTTTTAAATATATGTATCATATTTTGTAATGATGTGAAAAAGGTTTAAAAGTTGATCAAAAGTGACTAGATTGTATACACTGTAGGTCATTACATTAAATTAATGGATATTGTCTGAATATGTCATGACGCGTCATTGACCAAAATGCAACAATCATGTAAAGAATGTTTTCAAGCACTTGGTTGTTTCGACTATAACGCCGCAAATAAGCTTGTAAATAAACCATTCAAGGTATATGCTAACCCATAAGCTTTCTACATTTCCTGCAAAAATCAAAACTCGGGAAATGAACAAATTTTTTAGTTATGTCCAGGAGCAGGGTGCGTCTTTGCTACTTTGACAAAATGCGAATTAACTTACACCTCTTTAGAATTTTTGAAAAGCAAATTATTTCGAAAAGATGATGTGAGTCTTTTTTGGTGCTTCTTGATTGATAGAAAACATGGGTTGTTTTATTAGCCAGAAAGAATTAAATTATAAATATTGTGTCCTTGCTTTCTCTTCTAGTTCCTTGTCACTCAATATATAGAAGCCGTAAAAGAAATTCAAAATGCCGTAAAAACACTGAGAGCATCACCAAATGGAACTGATCCGTTGGATGTGGAGTATTTTATTGATCTTAGTGACGGTTTACAAGAGTTCATGGCAATTCGTCTAGCTCAGATTCGCATGTAAGAATTTATTTGTATTTTATAACCACCCATCTTGTATAATAAGTTAATAATTTTTAGTTTAGATTTAGAATAATACAGAACGCGTTTATGGATCAAAAGAATGATACAATTGTTAAAGAAATCGAATCTCTCAAGGAAAAGGTAAATACATACCAACTCAAAAAGAAAATGGGACCGTTGGGCATTGGCGTTGAGTAGGTAACTTTACGAATAAGTGTAGACTAGTCGATAAGATATTTATTTACTTTTTAAATCCTAATCTATTTTGTTGATTGATTTATTCTCCACTAAAAAAGACACGAATTGGTCATGTTTCATAATTTGCTTATGGCGCACAATGCAATTGTCAGTTATAATTTCAAAGATGCAACGATTTTCATGTACACTGCCAAGATGGAGTTGAATGCGTGGCGGGAATTATGCTCAAATCAAAATTATTCTGAGGTGAGTTCCCAAGTTATGATGATTGCCAAGAATTCCAAGAGAAATCAATTATTCCCTTCTAATTATCCAGAAATCCACAAATAAACCCGAAGAGACATCAAGGGGTTTATCTTGGCATAGCTTTTTTTCGACAAACCCCGAGGTAAGTAAATCAAGTAAATATTTTCACTAGTAAAAAAATAGTAAGCTTAATTATTTTACATAGAAACAATCTAAGGGCGGAAAACGTGATGACTCACCGAATTATATGCAATGGCTGAGAAAATTTCATTCTAGTTTAACCGCAAAGATGACATTATATTTTATGAATGTTTTATTGGATCGAGAGACAAATACTGGCGGCGATTTGAAATCACTTTGGAAAAAGGTTGATTCAGATGATTATCATGGACTGTGGGTGTTATTTGTTTTTCTGTATCTCGATGAGTCGTATGTCTTTATTCCAATTACTTATCCGTGTAACATAGGATTCGATCGTTTCGGAAAAGATCTGGGGCTCATAGTGTTGCCTTGATTTACGAAGTAACAGATGATGTTAAATTCCATAGCGAAGGGTATGTTTGTGCCGGTGTACCTTATGAGAAACCTACAGGAAAAAAATCGTTTCCTTTTATTTACTCTAATCCGAAGGTAACCTAATCATATCATGCATAACAATTAAATTTGTGTTTCCTATTACAAGACCTCTATCTACCATCCAATCATCATTTTCATTTTTATTATTTGATAATGCGTATTAGGAACGTCCTAAAGAACACTGGCCAAACATTATTTCAATTATGCAAAGTCACGATCCTGTAAAATCCACACCATTTCATCGAAGCACGCCAATTCATTTTTACGACAAGGGATTTGGTAGCACGTATTATATGATACGTGTAGATGCTCATGTTGGTCTCGTGATCATATATATGGAAAAACATGCTACACCCGACACCGCTGCTTTTGAATTTATTATGATGTTAGCAAATAAATTGAGCGGCGTTGATATTGTGTTAAGTTTACAAAAATTCAACGATTAAATTCACTTTGTATTTTGTTGATGGGAGTGAGAGGAAAGGAGCCGCGAACTTGAAATCATTTAGAAAATCTTTGTGTGAACAATGGTATCGATTATGAGAAGTAGATACGCCTATGCAACAGACCTTTTTTAATTAGTAGTAGTAACATAAGAGTTCGTATTTAATAGAAGAAAAAGATTTGTAAGAGAATCAAATCTTAAAACTTATAAATATCGTCGGCTATGAAATGTACTGTTCAGTTTACAGACACATATATGCGGACACATACAAACTTGCACACAAACCACATACATAGAAAACACGTTTATTTTGTCAAAAGTACTTTTTAAACGAGGCATATATCAGTGAACTTCCCCAAGCAAATGGAAATTATTATTGTGAATAAAGTTAAGCCCGCGCGCACATATACTAATTAATTGTCTTAGAAAAAAAAATTATGTGATCTTCCTAATAGAGCGAGATATGTGTGCGCATGTACAAGAGATCATGCTATGGTACGTTCCATCAGAAATATAATGCACGACAGATTGTAACGTCAATCAAAAAATTCACGGTGGAGGTTATCAAAGCAAGGTAAAAGATGACCTTCAATACCGTAATTCTCGAGGGTGTATATTAAGGGGTACCTTGCGAATTGCGATATAAATTATTTGGGATTTACGCGTTTTCTTAATATATGTCGCGTTTTTTGTTCACCTACTTGGATATTTCATATGTCAAACCTACAATTCAAGCTAGAAAATGTTACGTAATAACGTTTTGAGACGATGTGCATTCTTTATCGTTATTACAGTTCTACGATCGACACGTTAGATTTTTTCTGTGATTTTCAACGTTATGTAATACTTGAAGAAATTTTGTTGCTGCGTGACTCATCGAATCAGACAAAGAAAATAACAAATTATGCTTTTCTTTCATTCTTATTATTTGCCAGCGCCATCTATTACGATCTTTATAAGGTCATTTGCGTTGAGTCACTTTCTACATGTGTGCTAAGATGTCTTCTTTTATTATTATGAAGAAAAAGTTTCAGAAAACAACACAATTATTACATACGTGTTTCAATTGTAAATGGGAGATTTTCATTTCACACTTCGGATTTTCAAGTATACGCCTATTTATTATTTTTAGTCAATCCATTGTTTTTCCCCATGTTCGATGGTTAATTGACGATGCTGTTAACGTCCCTCTTAAAAATAAATTAATTGATCATTGACACGCAGGTTCTCAAAAAACTACTTGTTTTATGTATAAAGTTCGTGTCCGTGGAAAAATGTATCGTCAAATGTAATATGTAAAAACATCGATTACGGTGTATATGTGTGTCGATCACTCTGACCTGACTGTCGCATAAAAAAAAAATTGAATGCTTTTGGGACAATATGTGATACCTTGGAATTTGAAAGATACCAACCGACTAATGCTGAACACAATGAGGCATATATGTAATGTATGGATGCATGCATAGATGCATGCGCATGTCTGATTTGTTACTTTTTGGAAGTTTGATGATACGATCGATGAAAAAATGCGTGTGAAAAAACGAAAGGGTGAAAGGTTTTGTTTGTCGATATGATAATAATCGTATCTCATGTAAAGTAAAACGGGAATTGATCGAAGAACATGTCTCTGATTACGCATGTGCCTCTTCAAATTTTGCTTTGCTCACCCCGCCCAATTGCCATCAAAATAAAAATGGTAACAGTTATGTAGATTACATGGATTTATTTTGCTGTCGTGTTGAACTTTGCTGTGAGTTATACATGAAAAAATACGCCGAATATTTAGAATTCTTCAAAACTTGTTATATCAGATTTTACCTTATTATGCCATCTTTGTTTATCTCTTGTTATCTTTTCAATCAAATTTTTTTTCTCGTCGTGGGGACAATCACTAATTAAATTCCGGTTCGCATCATCACACATACACTTAAGTAGATAAATAAATATACACAAACATAAGCGTCACCAGGCTATTCTAATCTGCTTTTCAGAGTTTTGAGTTCCCCGTCTGATTAAAGTGATCGTCCATCAAATTTTCATGTTCGTATATGTGTTCGTGTTACCAAAACTTTTAATATAATAATTAATTTGGTGTATCCCATGCTAACTTTACTGATATTAATTCTCGCATTTAATTTTTTGGTTTGAACGTGGAGCTTCATTGTTTCTTTGGCAAAAACAGAATGGGTGGATCTCTTTGGCATTGACTTAAACGAAATTCGATAAGGAGAATAACGAGGCTAACGGTTGTCAATAGATATCCCAAACTACCACACCTAAAATAGAAAGGTGATATCAGAGTTGAATCATTATCAACCCCTTCCTTTCTCTATTCAATAAGGATTAAAAGGCATCATTACTAAGAATTATATTTAATCCATGCATAACTAACTGTTAAGAGTGATGAAATCTTATTACATCCCTTATTTTAAAAATGGCCAATCCTACAATCCATTACTCGTCATTATCTTAGCATTGTTACTTTCGGTCTATTTGAATATCAGATGATCAAATTTTTATATCAAACCAAAAAAGTGGACATCCGAATATATATGTGTGTGTGTTTAATATATTTTATTTGTGTAAAGGTTCAAAGAATCTCCCATATATGTACATATATATACGTATACGTATGTATATATGTGTACGATATAAAAAAAAAATGTATATATATAATAGTTTCGAAAAACCGTATCTTCCTTCGCCATATCAAAAGTGAATTATTATTTCTTAAATAAATCCTGATAAAAATTGTTCTTAAAAGAGAATCAATAAAAGAAAAAACCAACTACTTCCGTAATTATTATTTTTTGGAATGACTTTTACATTTAGCTGCTTACCAAGCCGAAAAAAAGATAATTCTAATAGTGAAAGTAGTCGTATTTGCAGCAAGAAAAATCGTAATAATAAAAGAAAAAAGTGTAAGAATCACAATAGTAATTATATCGAAAATGAGAAAAATATAATTAACAATCATAATATTATTACTATTAATAACAATGTCATTGACAAAGAAAATGACAATATCGATAACAATGATAATTCAAACACAAAAACGACCGAACCTCCACTTAACCATAATAATCAACAATTTCCAATCTCACCGACTTCATCGTCGACAACTCAATCACCAACCCATAGTCATCAAATATTACCGACAAGAAAAGCACAACTTACCCCAGCAACTAATCCTCACCCATTACTCACTTTACCGTTAATACGAACAGAATCTGTTCGATCCTCATATTCATCTTTTCGACATAAAAGAAATAGAGGGGATAATAAAAGAAGAAATGCATCAAAAAAAATATACATTAACAATAAATTTCGAAATCTTTGGATTAAATTACGGACTTCTGCTGCAGGGACATCAGAAGATGCAACAACGACGACATCCATAACACAAATTCAAAGTTCTCCGTTCAATGCGTCCTCTAAGAAAGTGACATCAGTGTTGAAGTTTTCGAGACATATCCGTAAAAATAGTGTGGATGATGAATCACAGCGTGATCAAATTAGTGGTAGTAGAATAGTAGTGGTTGACGATATTAATGAGGAAAATATTCTTGGTGTCAAGTCAGGTGAACTTCTTCGAGATGAGAAATCAGATGTGAGAACGGCAACAAAAAGACAATCGACCACGGATACAAATGCAACGACAATGACAATGTCTACCGAAACTATCGATAATGATGGCACTCTTGTAAATTCTACCGCACCGTCTTCACCTCGTACAGCCGCATTCTTTGAGTCTAATCTTGAAGATTATGAAACTGATGGGAGTGTATTAGTAAGGGAGGAAAAGGAAAAAACTAAAGAAGAAATTGATATAGTTAAAAACATTAATCATACTGGCAGTGTCACTTCAACGTCATCATCTACTTCTAGAGTTATAATTCCCGAGAACTGGAATATAAATCAAGAAGTGTCATTGATCGAAAGACTCGCTACTTCTCCACGTCGTTCTTCAGAACCAGAGATTCTTCTTAAGAAAGGTCGATTCACAATTGTGCGTGAAAGTATTGACGATAAAAAATTCCTTTCATCTCCATTAGCCTCAAGTTGTTATAATAGTAATGATAATGCTCGTATTCCAAAAACTATTGGTCCTTCTGCCTTCACATCGAGCTCAACAAACGCACAAACACCAATAAAATCTACGAGTCTGCCAGAACCACTTCAATCGAAAAAATTATGCGAAGATTTATTAATTAGACCAGTGAAAAGCCATACAAAACTTATTACAAAAAACGAGATTCCAAAATCGTATCCCACGTCATCTTCGTTCTCGTCACCGTCACCAAAAATGCTTGAACATTGTAATAGAAAAACACAAAAACCCTCTAGCCTTGTAAATATTAATACACCTCGTTCTCATTCACCACAATTTGCGCCAATTGTAAATAATGACAATAAAAACACCTATAACTATACCTCCAATAAACAAAAACTTATGCAAACTCAGAATAAGCTTAGACCGTCCTCCTTAAATCAACAACAATATATGCAAAAAGCGAATCCAAAACTTCCTCATCTATTACTAAGTCGACCATCATCTTGTCCTTCATCATTACCAGATAAGACAACTACAATGACTGTTAACACTCAATCCGGTAGGGTTTTTGAAGTTGGCAATTCATCATCTTCCCAATCTAGCACGGGTTCTTCGAATTCAAAACGAAGAATTTTTCTTGTGGAAACGTTTGAATAGTGTCAATGTACAAAGTGATAGAAATTATATTTCATATATTTTATTTATATTTTCCGTTTGTTTGATTCCTTTAAACATATATTTGTAGATTAACTTTATTTTCGTGAAATTTAAATTTTTCGATTTTTATATTTTTGTAAATATTAAAAATTCGTTTTTTTTTTATTGTATTCTTTCTTGTTTGTATCATCATTGTTGAACCATTACTTTTACTTTTGTATAATAATTTTTCTTTTACATCTTTATTATCGTATTGTTAATTTGTTAAAATAGACGTTGTCAAAACACAAAAAAAACATATTTATACCGCAAATAAATTCCCTCAGATTCGTAAAGTAAAAAAGCTGAGTCGCGTTATGATTGTAATTCATTCCCTTGCTCTATACTAAGCGGAATACACGCGAATAAAAACCTAATTTTAAATTTCGTGATCCTATTTCAACCACTTATTTCTTTTTATAGTCATTTGTATGATATTTTCTCACGGATTTTTATTCCGCATGTAAGACAGGAAATACAAAACAAATAAGTACGTATATGGTTAATACCGATAATAAAAATTCACACTTTTTGTAGGAAAGCTTAATTAATGCGTAATTTTTTTTATATTTTCGTTGAAAAAATTTCTCAATCACATTATAAATCAGATCGAATTCTTTAACCTATCCATTTTCGGCGTACATTTTCTAGGCGTGAAAAAAAAATGACATAACCATGATGAAATATATTAGGATAAAATAGTTTCCAATAAACAAAGCCAGCAAAAGATTAAAACGAGACTTTGTTCCCTTTAATTTTTTTTCTCTGAAAACAAAAAGTTTTAAAAGATTCCTGTCGACTTATTCACACAAATTTTTCATATTCTAAACGACATGGTTGAAATACAAAAAGGTTCCGAGGATCCCAATAAACCTGAGATCAATGCTAAAATTCCTACTCCACATTATCCGGATCCGAATGCTCCGAAGGTGGAAAAAGCTGCTGGTGGTTTTGCAAGTTTAAGCTCTGAAGTGGATCCTACACCGCATGCTTTTATGACCGCTGTTTGTAAGCATCCTCCTTTTCATATTACATTATTATATTATATGAAAACGCGAGTTCGAGATTGTAATGAATTTTGGCATTTTAATAGGTGCTGCTGGAGCCGGATATGCTTACCAATACATGAAACAACCGAGAACTGCTGCCGTCGCAGCTGGCGTTAGCGCCGCTTATGCTGGTTCAACGTATTGTATTTTATTTGAATTCCTTTTTAAAAACTAATTTTGATCGATCATCTAATATATTATTTTTGTCAAAGTTATTTGCTCTATCATGGTCAACATCAAATGGGCTATTGGGTCGCTTCTTGTGAGTCTAATAGTTTTTTTATCGTAGATACAAATCATGCACTTTTTTATGTACTAATTCTTTAACATTGAAATAATGGATAGTGGCATCAATTGGTCTTCTCGCATTCACTGGTCCAAGAGCATTCGCACATAAGGATCCTTTTAATGTCTCCCTGGCAAGTTTGGCGGCGTTAAGCACCGTTGGTAATACTTTGAAAACTTATCAGCAACGAACTGGTCGACCACGGGAATTCATCATGCACAAGTGAAGATTTTACAACCAACCATTTAATGGGAAATTTATAATAGAATCATGTATAACCGTTGTCGAATATTAGTAAAGAAATAGTAATCATGAAGCCGAGCATAGTAATCCCAACAAGCATGTATTTAAACTAATATTCATGGCCTGCTCCCTAATCCTTGTATACTTTTAAGCGCATAGAAGTCTATATTAATTAACCTTCATATCATTTTTTTACGATGCGCGGAATCTATAAAGGATATATGTTTCAATGAATTACGCCAGATTGATATTATATAATTTGATTTTAAATATCCATTCAAAAACTTTGAAGGATTTGATATTGATAAACTTGGCAATTATTTTTTTTTAATGTTATGTGATTCGATTTGTCTTGCTTTGTCTGCCGTGGTTTGACTTACATGTGTCGCGTTCGATCAGCATATAAAATAAATCTTTTTCTGCTATAGCAGGTACAGGTTGGTGTACATGTATATACATGGATAAGGAGCTTAGAATTCTTTAGGCTTAGTCGTTTATACTCATCTTAATTTGAGCCGATTCTATAGTGGAACAAATATATGCGTATTTGTAGGATCCCACCAAGCACATATGTTAAATTCGAAGTGTGCTCTTGAACCTGATTGACTAATAATAACCCCTAGATCAAATCAATCGCATACAGTTCATAATCGCAAAAACATAGTTTTTGGTTTTCAAAGGGACTCCTTTGTAATAAAGACCCATCGAAGTCATCAATAATCACAAAGAACAAAACAAGAATGAGCTTATCTGATAATTGATTAGAGCTGGTTTCGAAGGATTTGCCATTTGTGTAATCCGAGCGTGGGAAGACTGGTCGTTTCCCAATAGAATTTTCATAGTCTTAACTTGGGATTTATTGTGATATAAAAAAGTAAGAGAATAAATAGATAGAGTCTTCTTCTTTTGGAATGTCTGCATAGAGAACATAGAAAAAAAGGATCGTGCATTTTCATTCTTTCACCTTAAAGATGTACATGTACATAGAAAACAATAGAGCACTAAAAAAGTATAAATCCGAAGTCTTCTTTCTCCTTGCGCCTGTTCTTTACCGCAATGTTTTCTTTCTAGAAATCATTTTGTTATCGTTATACTCGTGTATTCTTTTGATCTACTAAACACACAATCAAAGATCTAAAAGCGGGGAATCTTTTTATTAGTAGTTATAGGAGAAATGCATCCCAGTGAACCTTCGCTAAAGTAAACTTTTACATGTTCGGTCATAATCACGCTGTTTGAAAATAATTTCATATGTGGCCAACTCCATAATTAATTTATTTGGTAATTATTCCATGCTACACAATCACTAAATCTCACACGATTGCCACCAAATATGTCTAGCGCACTATTTTTTTTAAAAATAGACTTTTCAGTGTTTAGAAAGAAAAGTGGATGATGATTCATTGGGCCTTTACCTGCCAAATGTCAGATCAACTTTACCGTTTGAGAGGTGATTGACAAGTGATAGATCTGTTATCGCTGTGTTTTTTCAGATGAACGGCGTATTTTTATTTTTATCACCACTTTTGTTCAGTTTTTTTTCAAGTAATTACTATTAAGAGTCATACATACAATTTGCACCTCCTGCATATGTGATTGGTATTCGAGACCATTTTCCTAAACCTTAATAAAAGTAATTTTTTTAAATTATAATTTTTATATAAAAAATAAATTAACAAAAAAAAATTTACTTGCATTCAACTAATTCTGTATCGATGCCTTGACAAAGACCTTCAACGTCAGCCGCGTGAACTAAGAATTCACTGATGGAAAATAATTTATATTAAGTAATTAAAAATGGAAATTTAATATCGGAATAATAGCTGTAAAAATACCTGCAATAAGCTGATAAAAGATTCAAGGTATCTATCAAAAAAAATTTATATTAATGATTTATTATGACAAATGTCGTGGATTTTTCTTACCTTGATTTACTTCGGTATCGGTGATTGTTTGCCACTTGTTCATTGCTACAACCCATTTTTTATCGCGTTTTCTACAGCTGAATTGATATGTTTAAGAAGTGAATGAGTTATTCACAGCAATTTATTATCAAAAAATTATTTATCCTGTACACACACCTGAGATCAACTACTAAACGTTCTCTCGAAATATTTGCGGATAGTCTCTGCAAACGGTCCAAAGAAAACTTAGCATCAGGGAATAAAAAAGATGTGACAATCACCTAACATATAAAACAAGTTAAAAGATGTATAACGCCCAAACATATCTAATATTATAATCAGATAAGAAAATACTTTCTCTGCGCCTGCATCAACCCAATCTTGAGCGTTTTCATCTGTTATACCACCTCCAATTTGAAGGCCATCTATTAAAATAAAGATTTGAGGACTATTTTAAAACGATAATGTCCGACGAATGTTTATGATTTTACTTGGCCATGCTGATAATGCTTCTTTTGCGGCAGCGTCATTTCCCGGACCAAGTTTTATCACGTGCGCTCCAGTGAGATTATGCTGTTTATAAAGATTCGCATAATAACTTGGAGACTCTCTAATTACCATTCAGGCAAAATACAAAAAATTCAATTTGATCTTTTATGACCTAGAATGTTTCGATTTCTAAGATTAAAATCTTCTCCATGATTATGAAAATTACAGACTTTGCAACAAAATTCGTTTTCAATTCATCCAGATTAGATTCGTTTAAAGAGCCGCCGACAATTTGTTTCACCTTTCCATCATGTAAATCAATGCATGGACGAAATTTTGTTCGCAACATTATTAATCAATAAATAAATCAATTTTTGATTGAAACGAGAACGTCAAAATTTATATTTGATAAATTAATTTATAGATTTTCAAAATGCAGGGCAAATTTGAATCAACGTGAATGATTGCCAAAATAAGAAAGAATGGACAAAGTTTCACTTGCTCTTTAATTTTGGCATATAAGATACTCATGTCTTTATCTTCTTCAAACGTCAATGAGGATGATCTCAACAATTCCCAGGATGAGACAAGAACTTCTGAAAATACGCCCCTTATTTATTCAGGAAATGATGAAGAGACTGGGGATGTTATAGCTGATACTGCTCCCTCTGTGTCAAAATTCCCTGAATGTATTCAAAGGTTTCGGAAACCTCATATTTTATGGATGATACCGTTTTCATTCTTTTTATCAACTATAATGACAGCTATATTAGCACCTTCAGGTTTTTTTTAAAGTTTCTAATTACAGCATTTTCATCCTCACAGTAAAGTTATTAATGCACAATACCACATCATTTTTTCAGTACAATTAATTCTCCGAATAATTTGTCTCGAGTATTACGATAAAGAAAAACCACTATCGACCGTTTGGGATAATCTTGAAGATGAACAATGTCGGACACCCGAGATTCAATCATTGACCGCAAATTTTTTATTATGGTATCAATTGTGTGGATTTATAGCAGGTATTTTTTTTTCCTCGAGGTATTTAAATCATTCTCATGATTTTTTTATTAATTGTTATTTCAATTTTAGGAACATTATCCGTTGGATATATATCAACTTTAACAGACTACATGGGTCGCCGTTTTGCTTTTCTACTCTCTAGTGTTGGAATTATATTTGCATTGACAAATATAATTTTTGTTGCACACTATTGGAATATTGTGAGCTCGAAATTTTTATTTCTTGGTGTAATAGTGGAAGGAATACTGGGTGGAGTTATCTCTATTAATACCGCATGTCATGCATATCTAAGCGATTGCACAACACCAGATAAAAGAAGTATCGCTTTTGGGTATATGCACGCTTCGGCGTATTCTGGAATGACCGTTGGTCCAATTTTGGGTGGACTCGTGATAAAAGTAATCGAAAATAACTGATAATTTAATGCAATGTCTATTAATTAATTGAAAAAACAACAAAATAACACGACAATAATAATTATAATAGGCTACAGGATCCATCCTCTCAATATTTTATGTTGTACTCTTTGGACATCTCCTATTCTTTCTATTTAATCTATTTATATTGCCCGAATCACTCTCATCCGAGCGACGTAGAGAACGCAAAGAACTCTCGCCGATATCAGGGGTTTCGCCAAGAAATATTTTTGCTGCGCTTACTATATTGACACAGAAGCCAGTTGAACAGTATCCTGGCGAGAGAATCCGTTCGTGGCGCGGTCGAAACACAATCTATATACTTACTGTAATTTATTTTCTGTATAGAGTGTCACAAGCTGGTAAGGGAAAGTGAAGATTGTTGTTGTTTTTCGGATCCCTTATTTGACGTGGATATTTTTATAATTGTAGGTCAAAATGAGATTTTTATATTATATGCAGCGCATAAATTCGATTGGACAGCGTTAGATAATGGATTCTTTTTGTCAACACAAGCATTTTCAAAATTTCTTGCATCACTTTTACTTCTTCCTCTATTCAATTTTCTATATCGACGATTTTTTGCCTCCCTCTCCACCTCGACATTCTCCCATGGCTTTGATACATCGATGGTACGACTAGGCATGGGTTTGGAAGTCATAGGATTTATATTATTCGCCACTGCCATTATACCCGCAATGTTTTATTTCGCGTGTGTAATTAATGGATTGGCAACCATCGCAACTCCCGCACTTCGATCTCTGTTCACTACTTTCGTGCTACCTACTCAGGCTGGACAGATTTTGGGGGCGTTAAGTGTAATTGAAAGTATTGGAAGCGTTGCGAGTCCACTCTGGATGAATCCCTTGTATGCTTGGGCGGTGAAAAAAGGTGTACCAGAAATTGTGTTTTGGGTTCACTCTGGGATATTTATCTTCGCTAGTTTCCTTGGACTTTTAATTTATTGAAATAAATCATGATTGCAGATGGTCTATTCATTACATCGTAAGCCATCTTTAAGTCAGCTAGCTCAGTGTTGGATTCTAAGATAGGGTTTCGATTTAAAGAGGGATTTTTTTCTTTATACGCCTACTTGTGTATCAAAATTTGGAGGGTTCGATTTTGATATCTGCTGTTTGTTACACAATACCTTGAAAATCAAAAAAATTTCCCATCTCATTGCTAAAATGGCTTTCTTATTTTCGTCCACCGTCAAAAAGAGTAAATTGTTTCAAAGTCTTTTATCAAATATAAAGCAGAAAGTTTACCCTAGCGTCAATAATGGAGCATGCAATACTTTTACCAGCATTGCTACCAAAACCTTATTCACCCCAATGAACACCACTCGCTTCACGCCAGCACCAGGACAAAATAATAGTATCGGACTAGTGCTAAAAACCACAACGCGTGGTATGAAGGTGCGGTCGTCAGTGAAGAAGATGTGTGACGGTTGCTATACTGTACGGCGTCGTGGTTATTTGTTTGTCATGTGTAAAAAGAATAAGAAGCATAAGCAGCGACAGGGATAATGGGAAAAGAGAATATTTTTGAAGGGTGTGAGAATTTGTGATTTTTCCCAATGAAATTTTTTATATGGTTTTGCAGAATTGATTTTCTTATGCTTATTTAATCATAGGAAGGGATCATTAACCCAAGGCCAAAGTATGTACAGCAAGCACTTCAGTGCGTAAAGAAACCCATAGAATTTTTAGAATTATCGAATATAATTTTCATCCCTGATAAATAAAATTCGAATTATAATGATCAATGCTACAGAATCTGCGAAAAAAATTACGAACTGTTTAACTTTTTAGGCTACTCGGGCTTCATTACATCAATAACGTCAATATCCAATCAGACTGCGCTGAAATATTCATATGATCAAATCTAAAACGCCAATCTCATTGACGCGCCAAGTTCCCACAACTTCTTAGCGATGCTAAAACCTAAAGTCATTTCCCAAGTACTTCAACAAGCAACAACGGGAGGTGTAAAAGCTACTCTGTAAATAAACATTTATTTAACTTTATATATACTGAAGCTTTTTTTCTTTTCCAAGAGGCGACTTTAGCGTTGTTACATTAAAAAGAGGTCGTCAAGCTCTTTATTATGTGATGTTGATTTGACGCAAAAGCGTTAAGACTTACTTTTATCCAATATCCTTCCTTATAATATCTCTATAAAGACTTTTGAATTCCGAAGGTTCTCCTTTGGTATTTGTTTCAGAAGCCGGTGATCGCGATGCACGAGTTTATGCGGCCATTGCGTCCAACGTTTGGAGTACATTTGAAAAGAATACCAAGCCATTAACAAAGGAAGATCCCACCATTGGATCTGGAGTTGGATCGGGTAATGGCGGTGGTATAAACAATGCGTTGAAGTTTTTGTTAGTAGAATGCGAGGTGAATTATTTATACAGTTTTCGATTTTATATATGTATAATTTTATTCGGTTATTGAGTTAGTTACTCTTTTAGGAAGGCAATCTTGCTATTACTACTGTTACCAACATGTTATTGTGTTTAGTTGCAAGAACAGATGTTGCATTAGGGATCCTGAAAGCAAAGGTAAAAATTAAAAGGATTGGAATGTATAATATTAATTATTTATTAATTATATTTGATGTTAATTTTAAATAGACGGATGCCTTAGCTCGACATTTAGAAGAGCCTTTTCAACGGGTGTCCACTTATACACAAAGTTCATCTTAATATGACATATCTTTCAGCAGAGTTTCTTTTAGGTATTCAAGGGATGGTTTCATCATTAATATAGGGAGATTTTGATTAAGAGTGCTGAGATTAATAACAAATTAGAGACTTTGGTTGGTTAGAGCTTTTTCCATTTAGTTTATTTATTTGCTTCTATTTTATATATTTTATTTTTATGTTTTTTATTATGAGATTGTTAATAAAATGACACATATCGTTTACGCAGCAACTTCATTTGTATTTTTGATTCATGTATAAGAAATGATAACAAGGTAATTATGTCATTATTAAGAAAATCTTGAATGATTTGAGGTATGCATCTAATTTACACAGATAATATACACGCGAGAAAAAGAAATAATTCTATAATTGAATATTCATTCAACCTCATATTAGAGCGCCTTCCTCTTTGTTGTTATCATCAACAACATCATACAAAACCCTAACACGTAATGAACATCCACCACACGCAACAATATCTATTTCATTCTCTAAATCCTCCTCCGTGATTATGTATTGACCACTACAACGACATTCTAAAGTGTATGTAAATGTTTCTAAGGAAAAAAATCGAAACATCGATTAACATAAAATTAATGTTAATAAAATCGGCATTAAATTGATTAATTACCTTTATCATATTTCATGTCGTCTAAATCTATTTCCGCATTAACGACGCCATCGTTTTGTGCATTCAATTGTGCAGCTATTGATTATTATTAAATCGTAAAAGCTTAGCGTGATTGTTCAATTTGGAAAAAATTAGAAAAAAACAAACCTTTAACCTGAGCATCGTATGCTTTTCTCGCAGCAGGATCTTTTAATGTTTTCCATGCATCGCTTATTCGCTGTATCTTATAGGAGGTTGAAACGTCCCTCACACCGTTATTTTCCCGTTTATCAATAAAATTCTCTCTTAATTCTTCTTCCTCGACCGTATCATCAATTTCCAAAGATCCATCGCTAATTTGTTTATTTTGACGCAGTTTTTCTTTATCTGGATGCCACTTTATAAAAAATCCTTTTACATTTAATCGAAAAATTATTATCCTACCTAATTTACGTGCAATTGATATATATACACATGATAAATAGATACATTACTATTAATATCAATTTTTGATATGCTTTTTTAATTTCATCCGTGTTAGCTGTTGTTGAAACTCCTAAAACATCGTAATATGTTTCTTCTACTTGATCGGTCATATTTTAAAAAAATTTAGAAAAAGCAAAATTCAAGGTTACATATTGATGATGTAATATTTAATTTTTTATACATGAAAAACCCCTAGCAAATTCAAGGTCACCATTTCTTATCTTAGTCATTTAAGAAGTTAGAACGCAAAATTTATTAAGTATATCGTATACTTTTTATTTTACACGATACAATATGCAGAAAATATTTCAACTTCCACACAGTAATTAAATGCATTATCTAAATTATTATACATAGGATTAAGCTAGCAAATTATTTCGCACGACGTTTACCCTTTGTTTTTGTATTCCGCCTGTCTTTATGTTGTGATGACGTATTTACCGTCGTTGTGGAGGTCGAATTTTGCACAGTAGATGAGGACGGATTAGGCTGCTGATGATTGTTAAGTTCGTGTGTACTGGATGATGACGTAAATGTAGAATTGTGATTTTCTCTCATCATTTTTTCTCGCTCCTTCATTCGAATATATAACCTTTCTTTTTGTTTACAAGCACCCACTATTCCGGCCCTTGCGCTTGTCAGTTTTGTTAGAAATTGGCCACTATAATCAAGTTGCTCCTGTTAAAATGAAATGGAAAAAAATTCGTTCTTAACTTATAAGGAAATTTTAATTAACCAAAGAAAAAAAAACAAAAAAAAAATTTACCAATAATTTTTCACGTATTTCTTTGAGCGTTTCTAATCCATCGTCTTTTCCCTCTAACGCTCTTTTACCTTTGATACTCTCATTTCCCTGTAATCCCATATTCAATACACCGAAGCCACTACCACCTTCAGATTTTTCAGTTTTTGAAACGCGAGTGGTCACCGTTTCTGGTAATGGATTGATTCTGAAATCTAGATCTTGATACATGGGATCATCCCCTTGAAGTATGTTATATAATCTGGTAAGGATTTTATTGTAACGATGTTCATCCTCTATCATTTGCGAAAATTGCTGCGCAAGTTTATTTAATCTTAAATCTTTTAATACTCTTTTCAATGCTGGACGCCTAATTATGTCTTCGGGAGTCTCCAAAGGCCCGAGAATATCTAGAAAAATCGATAACGAAAAATAAGTAAATATCAACGAGATTTTTGCTTCGATGAGTCGAATGTCTCTCGATAATGTCAGAATTGCAGAAGTGATACTCAGCATTTTTTTTAGAAAAATTTGATTGTTGAGCTTGATGTAGTGAATTTGTGCTCATCATACACATAATTATGTCCATTTCAATTTTTGATCGTTTCTTTTTGCGTACCTTTTATACTAACTTCTTTATATGGATTATCTTCTTCGTCCCCGCTGAACGGTAATAATGTTTCTGATGATTGTGGAATTCTGTAGATAATATGACGCCTTTTTCCACTGGGGGGATCAATATACTCTAAGTCTTCGTGATAACCATATGGCGCCTTCAATTTAGGACCACCATTCAAAGCTTCAGCGCGTCTCTTAAGTTTATTTCCACGATTGTGCGGAGTGAATCCAATTTCCTCTTTCGAACTGCTATCCTCATCATCGGTATGTTCACGCTTTATTCTCATATCTATTAATCAAGATAAAAAATTAATCTAGGTTTTTTCTGAAAATTTTAATGCATGAGAATTATCATACCCAACATTGGTTCCATCATTTCATCTTCATCCTCGTACTCATGATCATGATATTGCGAAAGGAGCTGCGAACCAGAGACTTCAATAGGTTCCTGTTTTATATATCTTGTTAATTCCTCCGGTTCATGATGATCAACACCATTTTGAGATGCAGCCCATTCAAGTACCTTTGCAGCAGCTGTAACAGGCACAGGTGAAGTTAACGAGGATGAAGCCAATAATTGTGGAGAACTCGTTGATGGCAGATGAGAATGACGCTGCTGTGGCGTTGATGGACGCGACAATTGTGTCTGTGTCAGATTTACAGCTGGCGTTAGAGCACGTGGCTGCGATTGCTGTGACGGAGGAACTTGTATATTGGGTTGTGCATGATGATTTGCTTGTAAAATTTGTGGCGGCGATGATGAAGATGAAGATGATTGACCGTTTTGCAGGATAGGAGATCGAGGTGGATGTGAATTTTGTGTGGAATGCGAATTATTTACCAGTGTTGAGATTGGAGAATTATTTGAAGTGGCGACAGTAGAGGGGCGTGAGTTTGGAGAAGACGCCACTTGTAACGAACGACCTATGTACGGACTGAATGAAGGACGTTGAGTGGTCGGACTAACAGCACCGTTGCTCATGGAAGGTTGAATGCGCGAGTCGGCAGTATATGATTGTGCAACTTGTACGGTCTGAATCGGTACAACACTTTGACGGGAATGCGATATGGGGGAAGTAGGAGTTCTTGTGGCAATTTGTGGACGCACACCGTTTTGTGACAAACCACGAACCTGTTGAGACTGAGGTGGAATAGAAGTGACAGGTTGTTGTGTCAAGGGAAGAGAAGGTTGTGGTGGTAGAGGAGGAACTTGACGCGATGATATTGGGTTGACTTGCGTGGTTGCTGTTAAATTTCCGGGTCGTGTAAGAGGAGGAGCTTGTTGTGACAAAGGGAGTCGTGGTGGTGGTGGTGGGTTTTGAGTAGTTCCCTGTGTTTGCCTTGCAACTTGCGGATGAATCGTCGTTCGCGAAGACAAAGAAACTTGCGACGCCACTGGGACTTGTGGAGGCATAGTAACCTGCTGTGTCTGTGGGGCAGGTTGTATAGCGGGTTGAATTGGCGGCGGTGGAGTAGGAGCAGGAGTTTGTATAGTATCTTGCATCTTGTAAATTTATCTCGAGTCCTTACCCCTTTTATTCAACAATTCAGAGTTTGAAGTGGGTGGTATAGTAGTTGTAGGAGTTTTGGGTCGCAAAAATGAAAAAATTAACGTAACGAAATAAAAAGAATGATTTGTTGTTGTATCACTTGAGAAATACTAATAATTCAAATACTGATATTTTTTTGGCCGAACAAATCAGTTTTCAAAAATTTTTTTTAATTTTTGTAATTTTGCCAAAGAGATATTTGGACGGTTTCATTTTTAAAGAGAGGGTGAACATTAAGATTCTTGAAAAGATAGCTCTCCTTAGACCAAGAATCATGGTGCTTCGAAGAATAGAAGAAGGAACTACACGAGCGAGCAAGTGAATATTATGATATGATAGAAAAAAATGGGTTTCAGCATCAGATAAAAAAAGAAAAGCAAGCGTTAAAAAAAATCCCACCTCATGATATATCGATCCGTGTGTGTCGTCATTTCAGAGTTGGATCTGAATTGATTTTCTTGATCTACGGATCAATCTGAAATTAAAATTTCAACGTCAGATTTTCCGGCATCAGGTCATGTGAGAACGTTTTAAAGCCGTTGAGGATAAAATAGATGACGAGTAACTATGTCGAATCTTAATCCTTCGCCACCGCTTCCTCAAGCAATAATACTTCCTGGAAATGGTGTTTCAGAACCGGGGACGGCAATGTGGTATCCTTATGTAGCTTCAGAGCTTGGTAAAGCGATTTCACGAGAGACTGGAGGTAAATTGTTCCCAGGTGAAGTGATATTAAGGCAATTCCCTGACTGGGAACTTGCTCGAGAGTCTGTATGGATTCCTTTTTTGGAAAAAGATTTGAAAGCTTGTAGTGGTACCGTCTTGATTGGACATTCGAGTGGAGCCGTTGCAGCATTAAGGTTAATAATAACACAAGAATTATTGCTTTCATGATCATTCACGCAGAGGGATAATTGGGAAAGTTCTTATCATTTTTTTTCCAAAAGATATTTGGAAGAGCATCGTGTATTGGGTGTGGTTCTTGTTTCCGCGTATCATACAGATCTTGGAGATCCGCACGAGGTAAATAATAGTACACATTTTTCGATCTCTTTAATCGTCCTTTGATCTTAAAGATCACATTTTGATAGAGAAAAGCTGGATACTTTGATCGTCCATGGAATTGGTCACGAATTTCCCAAAATGCTAGCTGGATTATACAGTTTGCCAGCACTGATGACCATTTAGTGCCAATTGAAGAGCAAAGATATGTGCATACAATGATTGGTTCGGAATATCGTGAATTTAATGATCGAGGTCACTTTAATTATCAAATAAAATTCCCAGAATTAGTTGACGTTATTGTTCAATTCATGGATGGTACAATCGACAAACAAAGCGGAACAATGTCTGATGTTGAAAGAATGGACGTTTCTGATTTTCAATAGTTTGTCAGCTTGTTGTCTTCATTTTTTTTTAAAATATAATTACATTTCCATTGATCAGGAACCTCGTTGTGAAACTATTTGTTATTTGCCCCCCTCAGTAAATTGGCGACATGTGACTTTATTGAAATCGAAGTATTACACGTGAGAAATATTTTTTAGATTGAACAAACAAATCGTGTTGTTACTCATGAATGGGGGGAGGGAAATCAAGAATTATTATTAGCATTATTCAATATTATTTGATGAACGTGATCACGTGTAAAAAGGTTTGGCTTATTCATGGGAAAGAATTTCAATCTACATGTATGATGATTTGAATGATATGTCACCGTCTCACAGAGATATTGCCTGTTGATTGATAAAACTTTGATCTCCTCAAATTAATCTATTTTCGGAGATTTATTGAACAGAACAACCTGTTGGGCCAAAACCGTAGAAGCTCGCTTTTGTTTTAATGCGCTGTTATTTATTTTACTGTGCACCGACCAATCTTTATTTTCTAACCGTAGGAGATTGATTAAGTTATAACGATGATGAATAAACATTGGCCATGAAACTTGTTTGGTCATACATAAACAGAAAATTTTAAAGGTTATGCAATAATTTCCGACCAACCAATTAACTGGTTGATGTCATTTAAAATTTAAACTAACATCAATATATCGATATGTATTCCATACACCCCCCTTATCATTTATCGTTATATTTTAACTGTGTATAGGGAAAATCTCGTTTTCTTTTGATTGAATTGACCAATTAAAATCTGACAAGTTCTGTTTTTGTTACTCTATTATTATGGGGAGAGATTGAATGTGAAAGGAGGAGGAGGAGGAGGAGGATTAAGTTTACTTTAAGTGTATAAGTAGTTAAATAGATTTATGTTATTTTTATTCATTATCTCAAGATTAATGAGAACAAACAATAAAAAATCAAAATGTGAAACGGCCAAGGAATCAAGGATGAAACTTTATTTTAATAAAGCATTCAAGTTCACGTTCACCCGGATTGATGGGATGGATGTCACTATTACTTATATACCTATTTGAGGTCAATAAGATGTAGAGATTTGTGCGTGTGAGAGCGTGTGCATAAGCTTGTAGAGGGAAACGTTATTCAATAATCCGATCTCGTATTTTGTGTGCATTACGTGCAGAGTGAATATCCAATTAGAAAGTCCCACCCACCAACAAACAACAATAAGCATTAATTTCAACTTTTTTTCTTTTTTCCATTCTATATGGTATAGTAATAATAATAATAAATAGCATCCATCACACAGATCAGAAAGAAGTTTATTTATTGACCAAATAAATTTTTTTTAGTATTATTTCATACAAGTAAATAATATTAAGTGGGATGGGATGAAGGGGAAGGGGGTGTAAGACGAAGGTAAACGCACGTTCTTTAACAATGAATATTAGGCTACACGTTGACGGGTACTGTGGTGGTTGTGTGCCTTGTGGTATGCGAAAATGTATAAACAAACGGACGAGAGAATATTACGATTTGAATAATCTATTCTTCATACTTGATATTATTATTATATTACTTTGAACGGAAGAGCAAAAAACAACTCGTAACGTAGATATTATTTTATCTCATTGTCATCCAACTATTAATAGAATATTTGCTAATCCATAACAAAATAATGACCCCATTCAGAGTATACCCGATACTCAGCGTTGAACATTTGAGTGACTGATCTATTTTGCTAGAGGTCTGCGGAACAAAGACGAATCTTGATGTATAAATATAATTGCTAAAAAGAAATAATTTCGAGAAAATTCATCAATCGGATGAACTATCTACGTAGCAAACAATGCATCGTCACACCCCCCACTAAAATTATCCTTCAACCATCCCATCCGGTTTAATCAGCAAACCCCAACCGAATAAATAAATAAATAAATCAATAAAATATGACACATACGTACATATTCAAACAAGTATGTACGTAATATAAACCATAATTTTTTATTAAAAAAAGGTTCATCATACAAACGCAAAATATTAATAACTGGTAAATTGTCAAACAATACAGATTTTATATATATATATATATACTGTCAGTTATATACACGACAGAAATAATAATCATCATCATTATTATTATTAATAATACTATGATTACTATTATTAATAAAAGTATTTGACAGACACACAAAAAACTTGTGTATAAATATAAATACATGTATATACTCTCGCGCCACCCTATAATTTTTTCTTCCTAATAACTAACACTAACTAATTAACAAACACTCACTTACGGGACAATCTGCTGTTAATTTTTTTCTAATTTTGGGTGAGTTTTTCAATATCAAATATATATTTCTAAATCTTAATTTTTGATTTTATTTTTTATCTTCTCTCCTTTTTTCTTCGTGTATTTTCGTTTTTTTTTCTCCTTCGTTTTTCTTCTTTCGCTTCTTTCTCTCTTTATCTTACACCAAATATAAATCATAAAGAAAAAAAGTTCCCCTTTTTCCTTCCCACTTTTACTTTACCTCGCTCTTTTCATTTTCTTTCCCTCTTTCAATTTCTGACATTCTTCTACCCTTCTTCACCTTTCCCTCCTTCTATCTCACAAAATATACACCTACCATGAACAATAGCATTCTATTTAACAATATCATTAACAACGGTAACAACAATAATAACAATTGTAACGAAGTAAGAGTGGGAGGAAAATTTGAATCGGTTGGTAGCCGTAGTATACTTTTTTTTTTTTTTACTAACAGTAGTAAAAAAGTAGATAATACCTTGATACAGTTTCTTCATAATATATGCGCATATTAATTGAAGAAATAAAGCAACTTTAATCAAAAATTATTGCTATTTTGCTGCTATTAATATAAATATATCGGGAATTTTGATGAGGCTATGATAAAAGAGGCGGCAGCGGCACGCAGTTACTTTACTTGGCCACACGCGTATTTCCTAGTTTTAATATTTATTTTTACCCCACTACTTTATTATTTATCGCTACTTTTTTTGTTACTTTATTCTAATGCACACTTATAAAAAAGGTATCTTTTAGGATATATATTATACATATATGTAGACGTAGTATACATACACACACACATATATATATATACACACTTTCTTTTTTCGTCTCTTATTTATCTTCTTTATTTCGAAATTTAAAACAATACCATTTTGAAAAAAAACAAATGAGAAGTAATTTTTACAAATATTCTTTTATTTCCTCTTCAATACAGGGTAACGATTTAAACCACACACTCAATCACCACCACCAACAACATAATATTCTTAACAACACTAATAACAACAATAATAATAGTAACAACAACAACAACATATTTTCACAACAATTTCGTAATCTCCACAGTAGCAGCAGCACCACCAACATCAACACTAATTACAATAATCCACCAAATAACGAATTTGAACCTCTCCTCTCTCAATTGCATGCTATGTCTCCAGGTTTATAATCGAATTCTTTACCAATACATTTTTAGTATTGTCCTTATTATTAATATACGATAATCCTTATTTTACATTATATTCAGCGGTTGAGCGACAGACTTTTCTCGACGAGGTATGTAATAGTTTAGGGGGATTAGATTTAAGGGATGCAGCAACGGCAATAGAGAAAAAAGTATTTATAAATGTCTATTTATGCATAATAATGAAAAAAAAAAGGGGGGAAGCAGGCAACTATGCAATCCATATTAAATTTATTTTACTGATAATGATCACTTTCAATCTTCATTTGATTCGCATTGTTCTTACAGGTGAATTCTATCGAAGATACAGATTTGCTACGGCGCATGCTAATTCAAAAAGAACAAGAAAGAGACGACATAGCGAGTAACTTAGATATAGCGGCAAGACTTGGATTAGCTATATCGGAAAAAAACGAAGAATTACAAATGAAATTGAACTTGGCGACTCAGGCTGAAGCTCAGGCTTATTTCAAAGTTTGTATCTTTTGGGGAGGGGATCATTGTTCACCAAATACTTGGATCTTCGCTCGATATTAATTTTTGTATCTTTTTTTGTATCACTATAATATAGCTATCGGCATTAGAAGAAGAAAATCGACTCCTAATGTCCAAAGCTTCACGTAGCAATGAGCTCGCATCACAACTGATAGCCAGCGAGGAACAAGTAAAATCGCTACGGGAACACAAGGCATATCTTCAAAAGGAATTAGAAGCAGCCCGACGAGAATTAAAAAGATTCCGAAAAGAATTGGATAGTTTGTCGGGTCAGATGAATGATATGGCCGAGGATATGATTGACTCGCGAAGTAAAGTTAATACGTACGCAAAGAAGTTGGGTGAGTATCATGTTATTGTTTTTCATTTATGGTCGTTGGCTCCTACCATGAATAGATAATTTACCATTTGATTCTTTTGTATCTTGGTGATTAATAGCCGAGGTGGAGCAACATCTATCAGACACGCAGGAAATGAATGTCAATCTCTCAATACAATTGGAAAAATCACTAAGCTCTCAGAAAATATCCAGTGCCACGACAACACAAATCGTAAAAATGATTCAAGCTGACCTCGGACGAGTAGTGTTGGAGAATGAACATCTTCGAGCGAGTATTAATGAATTGGAGTCACGACAAGTTCAATGTGAAGGCAAATTGGGTGAAATGATAGTCAATGCCCAAGAATATGCTCATTTATTGGAGGAAGCTCAGGATACTATACACTCGTTAAGTGAGACTCGACTAGAATCTAATATTGAAAATTTGGAAATATCACCTGGTCGAAGTCGCAGTAACACTGTGAAAATCATCACAAAGGTATTTAATTTTTTGTTGTTATTATTATGATTATTACTGTTACTTTTTATTAATCTACTTTATGATTATAGGAAACACCTCCGATGAAAGGAACACTGTTCTCGACAGAAGTAGAACAACAACTCGAAAAGACTATCGAGGAACGTCTAAAATCCCAAATGTCATCACCACGACAAAATTCCAATTCGTCGGTTCCCGTAGATATGAAAAAGGCAGCTGCCGGACTAAAGTATTTGTTATCGGCTAGAGAAGTTGAGGGTAAAGATGGTGGCAAAGGTAAAAGCCCTGAAAGACGACCGTTCGGTGGTGGTTATGTTTTGCATTCATATAATGTTCGTTAAATTCTCTGTGGCTTGATTCTTTATTCTTTTGAGAAATAAGATTTGATCTCCAACAAAAAATTTATTTTCTTCTTTCTATCATATCATAGTTATCATAATTTTTCTTTTATTCCCCTATTTAAAAAAAAACAAAAGAACGGAATGACAACAACAGCAACAAAAAAATTATTGTAAACTATAAAACACTTGTATTGCGTTTATTTCTTGTCGCTGCTGTTGTTACTCCAGTTTTGCGTTGGGTTTTGATGGATCTTTACAAAAAAAAAACAAAAACATGAGCTTTCATTCCTCCTATTATTATTATTATTATTATTATTATTATTATTATTATTATTATTATTATTTTATTATTATTTTCATCTTCATTTCTCATCATCAATCAATCAATCAATTTCTGGGAAAGTAATTTTTTTAATATAGTATATAAATATTCATTTCGCCTGCATCAAACTAATTACACTTGCAATCAATTATTGTTTCTATTATTCACTATTCTATTAGTGTTAATACACTTATTACCTATAAACCCCCCCCCCCCCCCACTACATATACATACACATAAATATACACGCACACATTCTCACTCATAAACATCTACACTATACACGCACACGCATTACATACAAGTATATATTATATTTCATTCAAAATGCAATCAAATCCTAATTATTCATTTCATAAATCAGCAATTATTAATTCAAATGTGACAATCTAAATAATATAATTTTTAATATTCTTTCGTCAAGTTGTTCAGAATATAATATTAATGATAATAAAAAGTATATTCCAAGAGTGGTTCGTAAATCTTTGATGATAATGCTAATTTTAACATTTACTCTGGGTAAGTGGTTGATGAGAATTATATCTTTGCGCTTAAAGATCCATATTTTTTTATAGTTGGTGCCATCCAGAACACGTATTTAAACAAAATAATCCCGTAAACAATAGTAATGTAAAAATACGATATTTAATGAAGGATGGTACATTATTTTACGATCGTAGATGTTTGCACACGGTCCTCGAATCATACTCTATTTAGGTGATTTTTATAGATAAAGAAGTACACCGAGAGTTGAAGTTGCCCTGCTGACCTGCAGTGACTTTTTTAATCATAATGACGTGAGTGATAAGTTCATAATAGAAAACATGATTAAAGATCGAAGATTATTTACAGATCTTTACATAATATTTACCGAGTTTTCTAACCATAAATAATTAGTTTATTACGAGTAAATTTATATGCGATAAATACACGAATTATATATTACATATCATTATGAATAATTAATTATTCTTTTATCTTTTCTTGTATTCGTCGTGTGCTTTGTAAAATATTTAAACTTTCAGCTTTTGACATAGTCTTCGATCTAGAATGTCTAGTAGCATGTGTAGTTGCTCTTCCTGTATGAGGCCTTGATTGGGTAGATCGTGTGGGAACAGACTTTTGTAAATTAACTAAAGTTGCAATTTGGTCCCCCTTAATTAATAATGATGACAATTAGTTGAATATTTTTCAATATGTCTTTTTAAAAGACAAGTAACCACCTTTAATTCCATATTGTCCATTGCCTCTTTGATTTTGTCTTTGATTGCATTTCTCTTGCTTTTATTCCCTATTAAATCCATTTTTTGATATTCTTCAACCAAGCTATTATAATACCTAAAAAAATTTATGTTAATAATAATTAATGTTTTCTAGTCTATTAAATTAATTAATTTCACTTACATTTTATAATGTTCTAATTCATCGGTAAGATTGTTAATAACGCCCTCCAATGCTGAAACAGGTGGATCATTTCCACCACCTTAAGAAAATTATGAGAATACACACATCAGTGATATTCCATAATTAGCTATTATTAATAACATAATAAAAATAATTTACGTTTCTGTTCTTTAGTGTCATTTGATGATCTATTTTTTCTCTTTTTGCAAACAGAGCATGAGCCTGGATTATGATTTTTCACCATGTCAAGTGTCCGTTGTAAATTGACCGTAACCGAATGTGATTTTCCGTAACCCTGATAACATTAAATAAATAAATTAAATTAACTTGTCTTTACTTTTCTTAAGATGATAAATATTTTTATCATACCATTCCAACAATAAAAGGTATATGTCTCTCTCTTTCGTTAGGTCGTTTTGTTGAAGATTCTTTAGAACGGTTGGGTTCATTCGAGTTTTGATCCCTGCGTCGGAGATACGATTTATTATCTTTGGCATCTCTCCACATTGGCTGATTCTTTGAGGAAATTAGTCTTGTTAATTAGAAATATTAAATTAACCAATTGATAGTTTTTGAATTTCAGCTTACGGGAAGAAGTTCATCATGAGAATTATCAGTTTCATCTTCCAATTCATCGTGATCTCGATTATCCTCGGAATCATCCTCTTCGTTATTTAGGTCATTGTCCCGATCTTGATTACGATAATATTTATTATCTTGTTTTTGATCATGACGGTATCCTGTTTGACTTCTTGTACCCATCTCTTCCCTTGCACTATGAGTTCTTTGGTCAAAAGCTTGGTAAAAATCTTTATTTTTAAAGATTCGAGGACTTCTGATTTTTTCATTTCGGTAAATATCATCTTCGGGAACAGATGGAGATTTTCTTACATTTCGATGCTCTTCCTCCTCTTCCTCGTTAGTATTTTCATTACTTTCAGCTTCACGCTTTCGACGGCTTGCATCGATTTCTTCTTGAATGTATCGAAGTTCATCCGACTAATTAACGGTAATAATACAATAAAATATAATTTTTAAATTTAAAGAATACCAAACTCAAAATAAAATTCAATGGTAAAGATTGCTAAAATTTGTTGTACACCATTCGTTAGCACGCTAAACTAATATTTTACTTACGTTAATTTCTTCCTCAGAATCAAAATCTGATGTATTCTCATATTGGTGCTCAGATTCTGCATTTTCTTCTTGTAATGTGTTCATTGGTTTTGAAGATCCAGGTTTTGCAAACTCATTTTTTTCTCCTGACTGATTAAATTTAGACGATGATGGTTGTGAAAAACCTCGAGTAAAATTGAAGACTGGCACTTGGGAATTTGTTTGAAGTGGAGATTTTTTCTGTGGTGAAGATAATTTTTTCAATTTTTCAATATCTTCTTTTAGTTTTATTATTTCTTGTTGTGCGGATAATAATGTTTTTTGGGCTTCATTACGTTCTTCATATACTTTCTGTGTAAAGTTTTTACTATATTCCAATTGTCGAAGTAACGCATCATTTTCTTCCTTAAGCGTATTGACGAGTGCTTCAAATCCTAAGAGGGATTAACATTTTTAAAATACGATAAATTACAATAACAATCAGTTCTGAATTAAATTACCTTACTTTCTTTTTCTGATACATTCAATTCTTGATTTATATTCGAATTCTGGTCACCTGAGTCTTTCGGTTCAACGGGATTAGGAATTTTTTTCGATTTTTCTTCTTGTAGTAAATGGCGTGTATTTTGAACTTCATTTTCCAATTCAACTATTCGCTGATTAATACTTTGGTTTGTTGTTTCCAATTCGGCAATCCGATTATGCGCTTTCTTATTTTCAGTTTCTAAATCGATAATCCGTTGATTATTGCTCGTCTGTAATTGAATAATTTGTTGCTTGGCTTTTTGATTTTCGGATGTCAATTCAATAATCTTTTCGTCTAACTTCTGTTTTTCCTTTAATAATTCTTGATTCTTATTTTCGGCCTCGATCTTATCCGATTCAAGTTGTTGAATATTATCGGTTAGGGTGTGTAATGCGGCAATCGGTCCTAAATAATAAAATTTGAATAAGCTTGTGTTTATCTCAAAGTGTCAATTGTTAATTATTTAAACAAACCATGTATATTGCTCATATTTTGATAATCTCGGTCTGGCCCTGGTTTCCCAGGAGTTGCGTTTGAAGAAAAATCAAACATTCGAAAAGAGTTTGTGGATTTAAGAGGAGTTTGCGCTGTATTGGTGATTGATTCAGGTGGAGGTGTTTTTCGAGAAGGTTCCTGTTGCTGTTTTTTAGATTCCTGCTCTTCACGTTTTTTAGCAACACGTAATTCCTCCTCAAGCTCTTGTTCTTGTCGTATTCGTTCTTCAAGCGCCTTTTTTTTAAGAGATTCCTCTTGTTCATGTCTTTGACGTAAATGTTCATCACTTTCTTCAATTTGATTGGTTTTTTCTTTTAGTGTTTTTTCGTCTTGTTTCTTGTGTTTCAATAATCTTTCCTGTTTAAGTATTTCTTCATGTTCTCTTTGAATTTTTTCCTGATTTTCTTTTTCTTCTTGTTCCCTCTTAAATTTTTCATTTTCCTCTTGTTCCTTTTGTTGCTGTAATAATTCTTGTTCACGTTGTTTACGCATCAATTCTTCTGTTTCTTGTTGTTTTCGCAGGTTTTCCTTGTGTTCATTTGTTATGCGGATTTTTTCTTCTTCCCCCTTTTTTTTACGTAATTCTTCATTTTGTCGTTTAATTAGATCATTATATTCATCTTCTAAACGAGAAGTTTCCCCGTCTTCTCGGGCTTTTAGAAATTGTTCTTGTTCTTCCTTTTGTTTTCTTATTTGTTCATTGTAGAGTGATTGTGCACGTAATTGTTCTTCTTGTTCTTTCTCCGTGCGTTCTTTGGCTAGACGTATTTGCTCTTGCCATACTTGTTCCTGCGGTTCTATGCCCTCTTGGCCTCTTTGCTGACTTTGAAGATTTTCTACTTCAATATATATTTGTTGGTTTGATTGAGGCTTATCGGACATAGCTTTTTTTTTTCTTCGTCGCGATCTTTCCCTTATTATATTGGAATAGCCCAAAGAAATTACATCCTCATCTACCATGCTATTCTCACCAATTGCCTCTTGATACTCTCGTTCACTCGAGCCTTTCAAATCTGAAAGGTTGTAGCGAGTAGAAAGTGAAGGTGATTCTACTTCAGGTTTAATTTCTTGTTGCTTTGAATGATCACTACTTCGCTCGCTTCTTTCGTCATCACCGTCGTGACTTTTAGTAGGTCGGTCACCATAATTATAGCCTATCATCTGACCTCCGTTATTTTCCCCAAACTCTGGCAAGCTATGAGATTTCGCTTGAAATGAGTTCACAAACTGATTTAAATAGTTCAATTCGGGACTCGTGTAATCGTCATCGTCATCTTCATCTTCTACGCGTATTTTTCGATGCATATATGTTCCTGTCTAGATATTAAGACGAAAAGAGAAAAATTGGCTGAAAAGTCAAAGTTTATATAAAATCTTGTTAGATAGAAAAAATTTACGTTTTATATCCTATTTTTAAGTTCTTACTTGGGAGACACTCGTAAATGTTCCGGTTCCCGGAGTCTCAAGAAACTGTCGATCCATATCTGAATAATCAATAGTACCCAAGTTCAATGCATCCTCCGCATCAGCTAATTTAGGGTCGGAAAAGTACTGTGCGACCGATTCGTCTCCATCTGATTCTTCTGATTCGCTATCGTCATACGTAATGTTTTCTGCCTCATTTTCTATCTCTTGCACAAGTCGAAGTCCGTCAGTATTGGAGGTGAACGAAGGTGAACTTCGACTACTTGTAGCCGTCAATGTAATATTATATTGGCCCGAAAAATCAGCGAAGAGCTCGTTTTCTTGTTCGTCCATTAATAGTTATATGAAATCTGAAGTTTTAAAACAAAAAGCTTGTACAGGGAAAATCTTTTACAAGATAACTTTGCAATAAAATGATGATTGTCGTTTAATCAGTGATCAAAAAAATTCATATTTGTGTTACAACCACTCAAATGAGGGAACAATGCATATGTCATTCATTTCCTTGAAAACTTATAATGTCAAACCTCACTACCATTATCGTAACTGGCGCTTCAAGAGTAAATATTATATTTCACAAATTATTCGAATCAAAATATAGCATTAAACGAATAAAATACATCATCACAATTTAGGGTCTTGGCCGTGCTGTCGCACTTCATTCCATAAAACATTTCAATAGTAACGTTTTAGCTATTGCTCGTTCCGAAAAGGATCTAAATTCGCTTAAATCACAAGTAGAAAATGAATTTGGTCATAAAGGACGACTGGAATTTGTTGTTGGGGACGTGACTGATAGTTCTGTGGTTGACGCAGCTGTTAAGCAGTGTTTGTCTTCATGGGGTCGGTTAGATGGAATTGTGGCAAATGCAGGGTATGTATTTGATATGGAAATATTTTGTCATGAAATCACTACGTTTTCCAATAATCATATCAAACATGAAATCCGATATGCCCATTTGGATAAAAGTAAAGTGTTATCATATCTAGGGACGCTAATGACTCGGTTAACTCTAAAAAATATTTTGAAATGAAAGTCGACTTTTTAGAGTCGGTCGGCTTGAGTCGATCCTATGATTAAAGATACTCTGACTGAGGGTTGCGACTCGACTCAAGTCGACTGACTTTACAATAGAGTCGAGTGTAAAGTCGGTTGATCACGTGATGTTATATTAAATCGTTTATTATTTCTCCGTCCCATAGATATTAGTTAATTCGTGCCATTTATCACGTAATATTTTTTAATCCATGTCTTGTATCAACTGACATATATCCAAAAAATCACGTAATAAATGGCACGTCCCTTATCGTTATATAACACAGATCACATGATCGCCTTTCGGTCGATTTTGGGTCGGAGTCAAGTTGTTAGCATCCCTAATCATAGTCTCGTTCTGAAAATTTGACATTAATATTGCCTTTCGTGTGAATTCCAATAATTTCATTGATTCTGAATATTTGAATACTTTTTTTATTCAGAGTACTTGAGCCTATTGGGACAATTGCTAATACTAAGTTGGAAGATTGGAAAAGGTAAATATGCTTGAGCATATATATTTAACCCACGAGGTTATTAATATTTTCCTTGTGAATTTTGGCATTATTTATCGATTTCAATTTGTTTTTAGGCATTTCGATGTGAATTTCTTTTCAATCATTTCCTTTCTCCAAAATGCAATACCACATCTTCGTGAATCTAAAGGACGTGTTATTGCCATAGCTTCAGGTGCTGCATCTTACGCGTATTATGGATGGGGTGCGTATTGCACGTAAGTAGCGATGAAAATTTTAATTTTCATTTAAAGATCGAATTCAAAGAAATTGAGTAATATAAAAATTTCCAGATCAAAAGCTGCTCTTAACTCGTTGATCAGTAACTTAGCCGTCGAAGAACCTGATATCACTTCGATAGCTGTTCGACCTGGTGTCATGGATACACCTATGCAAAAACTTGTTCGTGAAAAAGGCAAGCTAACTTTTTTGGCATAACGTATAGACTTTCTCCTTTTTTTTCACATGACGATTATATCATTCATTTTTTTGGTATTTACATTAGGTGCTGAACATATGCTAAAAGAAGATTATGATAAGTTTGTTTCCCTGTACGAGAATAAAACTTTGGTGAATCCTGAAGAACCGGCATATGTAATTTCAGGCTTGGTGACGGGTCAGCCAAGTAAAGAATTGAACGGCAAATTTTATAGTTGGGATGATCCAGAATTGGCGGGCTATCGAAAGAAATGATGTGCGGAATTGTTATAGTTGGTTGCAAATTGAAGCACAAAATCACTTTGGTATTAAACACTCCAAGTATATTAGTTTTGCTCGAAATTTTAATTTTGTCACAATCAATGGCAGAATAATTACACTTGCAGTCACGTTCTTCATTGCGGAGAATAATTGAACTCTCGATATAATAGATTTTTTTTTGATACACTATAAAGAAAGCCACTGCGTATGTCATAGTTCAAACTGTCCAAACTATATCACTGCCCCTTTATTGAGAATAAATGAGGGAACGAAATTTGAAAACATCAAACATAAAAATCATTATTTACAAAAATTCGTTTTTAATAATTCAATTTGGCAATTGGTCAGTCCATACCTTTAATTCCAAAATATTGGATAAAGAAAAAATCATTGATATCTAATATTCATGTTTAGCAATCACCACTTTGAAATTTTATAATTTAATCAACAACACGAAAACCTCCTATTTTCAACTTTCAAATATTATTAGGTATTAAGCAAATAATTTCAAAAAGCTTTTTTCCCAAAATTTAACATTTTTTAGCAAGTCCTTTTGTCGTAACAGAATTGTAAGTAGTAGTTAAGTAGTGATTATAAAAGATTTCAAAACTACACGAAAAAACTACTTAAAATTAACCAAAATCAATTAATAATGTTCATAAAAACTGAAAAAAAAACAAATAAATGGTGGGTGTTGGTGTCCAAGGTTAAAAACAAAATTCAGAAATCGTGAAAATGAGATGGTTCATTCATTTGATGTCTTAATGTGCAAATTATAATAAGATATATTTATCTCCCACCATCAAGTATAACAGACATTCTCTTATTACTGACTGGTGCTTTCTTTGAAGTGGTGCTTGATGCGATACTCAATGGTCTAGGGCGAAGACCGTTTACTGATGGTCTTTTCCTTATAGTTGCGTTTGTTTCTGTTAAATCCTGTTTTAGATTAACAGTTGCATTTCGTGCAGGGTTACGTGGCGGTGGTGTTATTTTAACTGGAGCGGACGGAGTTCTAGTTGGAGCTGCGGGACGTGGAATCCCACGTGTAATCTTTATATTTGATTTATTAGCACCATTATCAGTTACTTCATCAGTTTTGGAATCTTTAGATTGATTGTTTGATAATTTACTCTTCGACTGTGGTGATGGTGAGACAGCTAACCTTCCATTTACAACATGCGGTTCAGGTGTTGAAGGAGTTGCAACAGAAGATAAAGATGAAGAACTTGAATTACTCGACAAACTGTTACTTCTCTTTGGCTGTGATGTTGTAGTAGATGCTGATGATGAATCGGCGCTCAATGATGCCGCTGATTCAGCAGTTATTGATGCAGACGATTTCCGTGAATGACCTGTTTTCTCCTTCTCGGACGTCTCTGCATTACTATCAAGATATAAACTGCTGCGTCGCTTTATTCTGTTAGGTGATGCTGCGCGTGATATTGATGTTGAAGAAACTGTTTTATCGTTAGAGGATTTATCGAAATACACACTTGATCTTCGACTTGGTGCTTTACTATTTGGCGACGGTGAAGCTGCTCGGCTAACAGGTCGACTTCTAGATGCAGCTTCCACACCCAAAAATGCGGTAGATCGGCGTTTAGAAAGTCGTGAAGGAGAAACTTGCCGACTGACCGGTCGGCTAACAGGTCGACTTGTATCAAGAGTATTTGTGCGCCGATTGGGTGAGACGGCCCGACTTGCAGGTCGACTTGTTGTACTTCCATTATTATTGAAATACATGCTTGTTCGTCGACTTGGCGCTCTTGAAGATCGAGATGTTGGCGAACCTGGTCGTGAAGCCGCAGAACTATCTCTTCTTGAAGCTCTTGGTGTTTCTGAAGAACCATTTGGTTTTGCGCCCTTATTTGCACTTTGTTCAAAGCCAAAGAACATTTGATTCACGATACGTTCACTGATTTCATTTTGCTATATAAAATCAATTTCTCATTTAGTAATGTATTATTTACTTGAATAGATAATAAAACATTCACATTGTAAAAAAAAGGACATACCAGAGTATCGAGATAGCGTACACTTTCGTGCATAAAAGGTTTTCGCTCATCTTTATGAAATTTCGAGATTAACAAATCGAATTATAAAAAATTGTATAAACTTACACGGACAACTTACTTTCTTCATATTCGAGACAGGCTTTGATCAAACTTTCTTCGATTTTAACCAAATTGGGCCAACATGTCTTTCTCCATTTTTCTTCTTCCAATAATCGGAAAGAACTTTGGAATAATCGATTTGGATCTGAAGCTTTTTTCTCGAATTCTATCATTTTCTAATGACAATCGAACGAATGGGGTCAAATTAGAATTGAAACATGATGATAATCCGAATCGTAAGGTTCTAGTCGGTTCAATTATAGAATATGATCTAACTGAATTATCGCTGAGAAACTTACTTCGATCAATGCGCGACGTTCCAACATTAATCGATATATAGAAGCACATTTGAGATACAATTCTTGAAGACGATCAACCTCCTGAGCTAAACGTTCATACACTTCTTCGGCTGATGATACTATATTAAATAAAGATAATTGTCAGAAACAAATGCGAATTTTATGGGAAAAGAAACAAAATGCAATAATCAAACTTACTTTCTCGAAGGGCGATAAAGAATTCATCCCGTTCATTTTGCGGAACGAGACATTTATCCCAGAGCTCACCCAATTGTATAGTATACTAATAATGCACATACAAAATCAATAAACAACATAGCATACAACCAACGTAGAATCAGATGATCAATATCTTACTTCGTCAATAGCTTTCTGGATGATTACGCGCATAATCTCACGAAGCCGTTCATGTTCTTCTGATAGCTAAATAAAAAATTCAGCAACCAGACTAATCAATAAAAATCAACTTTCGGAATATTCAAAATTAATAAATGTTCAATCTTGTTACCTGATCCAAGTATTTTTCCTCGAGAGTATCCTTCAACGTGACTTGTTTCTCGTTTTCAGGCATTTTCAATTCATCCCAGAGACGCGTAACCTCCTTTTCAATTTTATCGCGTCTTTCTTTTCGTTCAATATATTCCTTTTCAAAAACAACTAGCTTCTGCTTTAGGGACGTCAGTTGTTCCTCTGTTAAATTTAGACCATCCGGTAATTCCGAACTATAATATACGTAATCCCGAGACGGAGGTAGCGATCTCTCGTACGGTATGCTTGATTTGATTGTACCTTCCTCGTCATCGTCGTAAACATTATTAATATCAGTATCATTGGGGGATTCAGAACTCTTTTTTAGATTATAATAATTTTGTATTTCGGCGAGTATCTCGTTTATATCTTTGGGAGTTGCTTTATCCAAGAATAATTGTATTAATGCCTTTTCGGTGTCATCAGAAGGTTCAAGTTTTAATTTGTCAAAGTAAAAGTGTAGTTGTGATGTATTGTCTTCAAATGAATTCCGTCGTACGCTCTATATTTGTTTAGATATATGATATATCGAAATTTAGTACGCATTTATTCTCTAACTGATCAAAAGAAAAACAATTTATACGTTAGTTAATATATACTTACCGCTATCTGATATAAATAGTCGTATTTATACCAAACCTAAAGATAAAGTAAAACATTTAAAAATTGATTAATATGCAAAATGCAAAAAACGCCCATTTAACTTTCGCAACATATACACGCAACGAACGGAACACGTACAGGTTGAATAACCGAAGCACTCAGATCATTCTCAAATATCTAAGCAAAAAACAAAAAAGGTAAATTCGATTGACACGAGAAATTCCGTAAATATGAAGAATTATAATCATGAGAATGACGTATACTTCTTTTGGTGGAACAACAACATCAGTTTGTAATTCTTTGGCGAATAATGTGACGCCATCTATCCATTTATTTATATTCTCGCGTGTAGTCGTGATTTCTTCATTTAAACTATCGCGAATCCTCTTCAAGTAATCGCGTGTTGTGTTATTAGTTGGAAGAGCAGGACCTGTCAGATCCTCTAGAACATTATCTATTTGTCGTCCAAATAATCGACACTGCACCTCTATTTCAGCCTGTTGATAATCACAAGGCAATAATCGATTAATAAGGAGTCATTTTAGACACTTCAATAATACGCAAATCAGACTCACGAATAAGTCTTCAATCTCAGAAGCAACTGCTAACTTCCAGACTACTTGTTCTTGAATGAGTTTGTCAAATTCTGTTAGTATGGTCTATTATTATATGAACCAAAAAAAAGGGGGGGGCAGGTTAGCATAAATACACGAATAACGGTAGAACATCGATTGATGATTATCAATTGATGAATATCTAATTATTTACACTCAGTTTCTTTCGTGCCCACTCGGACTGATCACCATAATCCGTGCCAAAACCTTGGTTAGCTATTCTATATTCAGCCCATAAGGATTTAAGTTGCTCGACTTTGAAATGGAGCGAGTCCATTGCTAACAGAAAGATAGCAACAGTTCTTCAAAGTACTGGCGGATAAAAGGGAGAAACAAAGTTTATAACCAAAGTTTGTTGACTAACAAACAAGATGTTGTTCTCGTGCGTGTGTGCGTGCGTGTGTGTGTGTGTGTGTGTGTGTGTGAAGACAAAAAAGTAAGTGCAAGGAACAGAGAGAAGGAGGGAATGAATGAAAGGAAGGGTAAAAATAATAGGGTGTTATAATGGATATGATTATTCGCCCTTTTAAAATAAAAAAACTTTATATAGTAATGATAATCAAAGAATTCTTTAGAAAAACGGGCGTAGATTGATTTGTTTCTTCAGCTGCTGTTGTTGTTGATGAATGATGATGATGTTGACACCCAAACCTGAGATAAAATGTTATTTATTTTTATTTTTCAGGGCTAAACTTTTTTTGGTAATGGTGACCGAAATCTTTTATTTTTTTTTTTCTTTGTTTTTCCTCTTGGTCGTTTGTTAGATGATTGAGCGTAAGGCAGTGGGTAAGTGAGAAACAAAAGGGAGAAAAGAGAAAGGGAAGAGAGAAGAGAGGAAAAGGAGAAAAATGATTAATAAATATATAAATAAAAAATATTTCTATTTATAAAATATTAATATATATCTGTGTATATATATATATAAATATATATATATATAAAAATATATATATTAATTTACGTTTATATAAGAGATGATAAATAAAAGGAAAAAAAGAGTGTGTGCGTGTATATATAGTTTGTTCCTTTTGATTCAAAGGAAAATCGAGGATGTCATTTGGAGCAAAAAGCAAAGGAATGTAAAGTGATAAATAAATAAAGCAAGTTGGTTTAAAAAATAATAATAATAAATCATAATATTGATAAATAAATAACGCTTACGATTTTTATGCCAAATTTGATTGATTTATTGATGTATGTATGTTGTATGTGATAGATTACTCCTCTGTCCACTCCTCGTACGTACATTTAATAAAATATATAATAACAGTATGATTAAGAATAAATTTAATTATATGCGATAAAGATTAAGAGGGAGCAAGTAAGTAATACACATTCTTTAACTTGGTAACGACCTCATCATTGTTCTGGATTGATTGAACGGATAAATTGATTGATGATGTGAACGGTGCACGTTTAACAAGGGTTTATTTGACTACCCTGTAATAAAAATTCTTTAAATATGAACACCAATACGAGCGAACAAGAGAAGAACAGACACCCTATTAAAAAAACGGAACCAATTATTATCCTTATAAGAATTTTCATCTCGCATGTATATACATATTGTTCTCGGTGGCTTCATCAGCATATCAGATGTACCAAACGGCTAAGTGAGGGCGAATATCTGTGCTCCTATTTTATCAGCCGATCCCATTATATAAAAGGCGGCGGCACAGAAGAGAGGAAGTGAAAGAGTCTGAAACTATAGCGGAGATTTTATCATGATTTTGAACAAGGTAAAGGGCGCACAAGCGAATGAACCACCCATTCATTCTTTATATCTTTACGCATGCACGTACTGGATACATTCTCACACGTACACACGTACTCTAGTTAGTCGACCAAATAATGCATAGCAAAATAAGATGCAAACAAGTTACTCAACACACCGCATCTCGTACGTAATACTTAAAACGGAACAATATGAATCATATCCGTTAATGAAATAATGGACCTTTTTTTGGATATCCGTTCTTTAAGGTTCCCATCATTATTGTTATATTGTTCTCCAAGAAAATGTGCAGTGGAATGGCGATTTCTTGTTTTTCCAAGGTATTTTTTTGATAGTTGCCTCGTGGAACAATTATACATTGGATGTGCAGATAAGAATGAATGGTGTATGAATGAATGAACGAACGTTATTACTACTTCGTTTCTCCTCGTGGTACCTATTTTTTGTTAAAAAAAATGGAACAAAAGAATTTACTTTTTGAGCATTGTCTATAATAATAAAGTAAGATTACAATGATAACGTTCCACAATGATGAGTTGAGTGAATGCCAGGCTTCGTTTTTTTTTGACATTACTTGTCTCTTTCAAGATTTCATCCATATATATAAATTAAATTTCCAAATCACTTTGTTATTCAATTGGTCAATGGAAATTTAGAGTGTACTCATGTATGTCGATATAAGGAAAAATGAGTCTTTGCGTCGAAGTAGGTTAAAAAACATAATCTTTATCTAACGAAAAAATATCTGATATGCGAATGGATGTCATTTTATGCAGAATGGCGATTGATGTCACGATAAAGAAACGATCGATAAAGAAAACGCTTGCGTAAAATAAATGATAAAAGTCATGACGCAGTAACTCCTCGATTTTTCTATTCACCCTTATCCTAAGAATATAGAAAATTTGCCGATTCACGGCGTCAAAAAGAATTCATGATCGCGCTAATGTTAAAAATCATCTTGGCACTAGAGATAATCATTTTGATAACGATTTTGTCCCAATCTTATTCATGCTTGCGAAGAGAAAAAAAATTTTTTTTTTCTCTCAAGTCGAAAGATGACTTAGTACATACGGAGATAAACAGTGAAAGTCGAAAGATTGCTTGAGAGAGAGAGAGAGAGAGAGATAAACAGTGATTATGTCAAAAGTCTAAATACGTAAAACATTAAATCATAAACGGAGTTGAATTAAAATCTATGCCATTGAAATAATGTACAGAATGCAATCAATAATTGGGCTAACTAACATGACAGCACGAAAATGCAAACATCCGATCTATATATACTTTTGAAAAAACCGCTGCCTGTCCGCAGATTAAAGTTTTAGTGAAACCAACCGCAAAATACGCAAAATAGCATTGGGTCGATCAGTGTCACGAGTCAATTGTTGTCAATTGAACAAGAACAGCAAGCATGCTTTCTAAAAAGATCCGTGATTTAAGAAAGGGGCACAAATTAAGTCATGATTGTGCATGACGACATTGAAACAGGTAAAGTAGTAAGGAGAAAAAAAAAGATAGGAAAATGACCAAGGCGGGAAATAATATTTAATATTATGATCGATGGAGGAAAGCTAACTTTACATGGGATCACATTTTTTTCATTTTTTTTTTTGTGACTGTAAATCTGTGCATATATGCGTAATGATTTTCATTTTTTTCTATTTTAATAAGGTGACCAGTCCAACATGCCATTCTTTCCCTAACTAAAAAGAAAGAAAATACGCATACATATACATTAATCAATCAGTCCACCGATTTTCTACCGCTATCCTGTTTTTCATCTAGCATATCACTACGATTACAAAACAAACTTCTTATTAATCGTAATTTCGTTTCTTCTTTCACAACTTTGTAATTATCCTTATCTTTTATCTACCTTATCTCTCGGTAATTACGAGTGTACGAGTGTGGCTCATCATTTTTCTGTCCCTCGGAGCTTATTTTTCCTTTTTTTCTCCCTTTTTTTCAGCAACTATAAATAATAACAGAAAGGTCTTGGTGTATCTCCCGTGCGTCCTTCTTCCGTTCTTTTAAGCATCATATACACCCTATCTCTCTGATATCAAACACACCTCTCTTTCTACTTATCGACTAATTTAACAACACATGCGCTAATTGGGAAGCACAAGCATATTTACACCAACCGACAATTAGCATTTTCTTGCAATCAAAAATTACATTCACTTACATCCGATCACCACCTCCCTCTCTGCGCGTGGTTTATCTAGTCGAGTATCTTTCAACTGGTACAAAGGCGCATCAAGACACAAATGGGTAAACGTTCTTCACCGCCACTATACATTAAGCTTCCTGAGCATTCAAGCTTTTTTAACCACATGTCAAAGGTATGTGATCTCGTGTCTCGGTCCTCATAAGTGGGGGTGTGTGTATGTGCTGGATGCAAATGAAGAAGAAAATAAAAACCAAGGATATATGTATATGTACGAGCATAGTATAGGAAAAAACCTTGTGTTTTTGTCCCTCTATAAGAATAATTTTTGAAATTATTTTTTCGATTTGTGTGTGGTGTGTGTTTACTAAAACCTAAAAACTAAGGCTCCACAAATATCCTTCAAAGAAACCAAAAATCATTATTCCTGATATATTACCCGACGGATCACCATTGCCGTCGCCTACTAAGAGCGAAGAAACATTCGAAAAAGAACTCGATCGAGCCCGAAAAGAATTCAAGCAATTTAATAAGGATCTCGACGAGATATCTCGGTCTGTTGAAAAATTGGTTCAAGAGGCGCCGGAGTGGTTCGCGGGAATAGAAGAGATAAAAAAGAAACAAGGTGATTATTCTTTTAATGAATAGTTTAATTATTGTGAATTCTATAATCATTCTATTGAACATGAATGGTGAACCTTCCAAAGATAATGTCGAAGAATGCATCACAGCGACACAAGAAAAAATCTTTGAAAATGAACATCGTCTAAAGAAACTGCAGACTTTACAATACGAAGCAAACGAGGATATAAATAATGATTTGAAGCAAATTCAAGAGCAACTCAATGAGGTATTTTTGATCGAATATTGATTTGTTTTATTTAATCGAAAAAAGTAATCATGTTTTAACAAAATAATTAGCTACTGGAGAAACATCGAACATCACACGCAAATGTTCAAAATCTTGATCAGAATCAATTAAGAACTACCGAACAACTTGATTTAATGCTACAAGCAATACATGAGTATGCACGTTTAATCGAGGAATGTAGCGCTACAATTAAACATTTCGATGATATTGGATCTCCAATTAAATATGAGTCTTTGGATTTGTCTCCGTTTAAACGAGAGGTGTGAGAACTTTTTTATTTTCTCATTATCAATTGTTATTTTACATATATAGATATTATGTTATATATTGTTGCATCTATGATCTAATATTAATTTTTATGAAAGGGCAATTCATATTTCGAAGAACACATTTATCGCGCAAGTCGTGCGACAACCCCCAATGGAAGTTTACCCACTTCACGATCTACGTCACCAATATTTTTTACAAATTCTGGTGCAAGTACACCTGCTATCCCATCCGTTCAATCATCTGATCCATCTTCTCCATTATCCCCTACTGATCCACCATCCACTTCACCACAGCCAATACATCCACTTCCCTACTATCAATTAAGACATCAACAACTTTTGTTATTGGGAATGCGTCGAGCAGCTGTAGGACTGAAGTTTTTACTGTATGCTAAACAGTTGAATGATTTGAAGAATGGTCATCCGGAGATTGATTGTGATTTGGATGTTGATTTATTTGGTGACTCGCTGGATGAGCGCTCTTTTTCGAGTTATGCTACATACACAAAAACTGCCGTGTTCAACAGTAAAGATTGTGATTATAGTAGCAGTGATACTGATAGCACGAAAACGAGTAGTGACGATAGCATAAATAATTGTGATAGTAACGATAATAACAATAGTAGCAACAATAGCAACAATCATGCTGGAGGAGGAAGAGTCAGTTTCACAATAAGGAAACGACCACACATATTTCATTCTTATGATCTACTAAGATTTGACAAGAGAAATATTGTTAAACAACAGCAAAGTTGACATTTAAGATGCAGGGGTGTTATTCGCAGAAGTTTTCGAATGGCACCCGCTAAAGAAACATCTGGACTTTGGTTAAAGAATCTTTATCTATGTAAATTAATATATGAGAGATATAAGAGAGGTGGTGTGAAGAATTAGAAATTTTTTAAATATTTGTTATATAGAGAGGGAGGGAGGGAGATTATTTCTTTACACTTTCAAGCCAAAAGCAAAGACATTGGGATTTTTCGGATTTGGCAAAGTGTGTGTAATTTTTATTATTAGTTATTTATTTCGAATCGATCAACTCTTATTGTCATCTTCAGCACGAATATCTTGGAAAACCAAACATTGCAGAGTTAGCTAATTTATTTTCGAAGATTAGATTAGCATTGTTCCACATTTGTATCATATTAAACTGGGGTGGGGTTTGGGAATTTTTTTGTATATGCATGCATGTTTCTTGGGAAGGACTAACGACATTGTATTTTTTTTTCATTTGGACTGAATTTTTTGTTTTTTTTTTTATATATATTTTTCTCATTTTTCGTCAATTAGATGGGTGTAACATAACAATGACAATAATAATTATTATACATGATCCGAGATTTTTTCTTTCTTTTGGTGAAAAAATAAATAAAAACACGAACCTATCTCTATATCCAGTTCAGAACGATTCGAATAATTCAGAATTGCGTTGTACTTGAAACACAATTTATGCGAGTTCAGATGCGAAGAAGTTCTCTGGAAAAATTATAATTTATCAAAAATATTGATTATGATGGGATTTAATAGTCATTTTAATTAGTTATTAACAACAAATATAAAAAATAAATATATGATAACTATAAAAATTATAAAAATATAAAAATTAATAATATAAAAAAAACAATATTTTCTAGAATACACCATTTAGTATATCAAGGACCACTCAACCAAACTCTAAACTAATGGCGTAGTGAAATTACTAGGGAACAGACCGCGAACTTTTCTTGATTCATCCAATAGTTCTCCTTCCCACCATCCATCATCTTGTATTGCAAGCACCACCAAAATATCACCGGCTGTAAAAGAAATTTCTTCAGGAATTGTAGCCTGATAGTCATACAACGTCGTAACTATATCGAATTGAAGTTTAGAATAAAACTCAAATGGTTTTTAGAAATGCGATATTGATAAAGGATATATAAATAAAAATTACCATAGCCTAGAATTGGTCGACCATCATCAGTACGTTCATTAGTCGTTCTCATTATAGCGGGTCTAGCAGGCGGTACTTCTCTAGCTGGTTGTATTACTGCTACTGGTTGCTGTTGTAATACTGGACGTTGTAGATTCTGTGGTGTCACTCCATTAAATGGCACAGTATCATTGTTTACAAAAGATTGTCTTCTTGCAGAAGTATTGCTTCCAGCATAATGATTTGAGGGCATTGTGGCTGTTCTTACTAAAGGTGCCGCTGGTTGCTGCGGACGTGGTGGAAATCCATCAGATCCTCTTGGAGGTGGATAAAAAGTCGGGTCTCGGTAATTAGTTGGTTGATAAGATCCTTGTCGTAAATGTTGTTCTGGTCTTTCAATATTATATACACCTGATAATGGCTGAGGATGAAAACCAGCACCACCCGTACCAACCCTCGCGCCAACTTCCACGCCAACTCCAACCCCACCTCCAGCTCCATAACTATATCCACTACTCGAGACACTGCCAACAGTATTACTTCGTTGTATTGTAGTTTTTGAAGCTGGATGTGGTTGTACGGGTGGTTGAGTAACATAACCGGCATGATGAATAGGAGGACCTGGTCTCTGTGCTTCTACGCTATATATATTTGCGGGTCTTATTTGCGGTGATGTCTTTTGATATGGCCGAGCAGGATCAATACTCGTTGGTTGTGTATGATGAATATGTTGATTATTAATCTATTGAGTAATAATTATCAGTTAGAAACGTGAATAATTTACAAGGAAATAAGAAATTTAAGTTTGATTATTACTTGCTGTTGGGGTGGAGGTTGGATAGGCCTTGTTGCGGGAGGATATCCGGATTGTGGTGGATAAGGACCGGGTCCGGATCCTTGTTGATCTCTAATGTTTGGATTTACTTTGAACCTCTCAGATTCTGGTGGAAGTTTTCCGTTATTCTCAATAAATTTTTCGGCTAAAGTATCTTTTATTACTCTACCATGTTCGTCTATTGCTATCCCGAGTTTATTATTACTGCTAGCATGTGTAGATGAACTTGATGAAGTGAATGTTGAATTAGTTCTCGTGACTGTTTGATGTGGTGAAGCTGTTTGAATTCGAGGTGATGCCGATGGAGACCGATGAACTGGGGATTGTCGTTGATTTATAGAAGTAGAAGAGAAAGAAGGTGAGCCATTTTGTTTAAATTGATCATTTTGCCGTGAACTTTGTGTTTGTTGTCGCGAATTCGGTAATGGACTAGGACTCCGGGTTCTATTATTATTTCTGTTGTTATTATTGGTCGTATTATCAGATGAAGGTCGTCGTAAATCACCTGGCCCTTCTTGAATATCGGTCGAAGGTTGTGGAGAACGAGATCGACTACTTATCATTGATTGGATTTCTTGTTGTTGAGATGATTGAGGGCCGTATTCTGCAGAAGGTTGTCGTCTAAAGTTTCCTGGACCATTAATTAGTTGTGATGGGTCATAAATTTGTCCGGCAATTGTTCCGAATTGTTGTGGTTGATTAGATTGTGGAGGGGGACGTTGATATTGCTGTGGTGGTGGATGTGAATGTTGATTATGATAATGTTGTTGTTGCTGCTGTTGGTGATGGTAGGGAGGAGGTTGATATTGTGGTTGTGTTTGTGGATGTTGCTCTTGTTTATGATAAGGTTGCTGGAACTGCTGTTGAGGTGATGTTTGTTGTGGGAAGCCATAATTAGGAGATTCATTTCTATTTTGGATTGATGGTGGCATAGGTGGTTGAGGTTTATTTTCAAGAGTATACTTTGCTGAGGATTGAGAATCTGAGGAATTATGATTTACTCTGCTCTGATTTGATACGTTAGTATCTTGTGGCTCTTTAGTATTTGAGCTTGGCTTTTTATTTTCAAAATTGGCTAACGCTTGTTTAATCGGATGTTGCTCATCATTATTGTATGCGGTATTCGTTGCCTCATTATTCGAGTTTACTTCTAACACATTACCACCAATCGAAATATATTGCTTAGACAATGGGTTCAGTGGTTGTTCTTGGTCATCTGATTCATTTTCTAATGGACTAGATTTGGAAGTATTTATTTCGTTATTACCATCATCTTCGCATTCATCATCATTATTACTATTAACATTAACAGTACTAGTAGTGGGAGTGGCATTATTATTCATCGGAGAGTATATACTTTCTCTCCTCGATGCTGGAGATGATTTTAGAGAGGAAGAGCTATTATTTCCGGATGAAGTATTATAAATACTTTGTCGAGTAGGACCAACATAGCCGCTCGACATCTGCGCATTTTTTTGCCAGGAACTGATTTCATAAGGTGGTGGTGGTGCTGAAGAATCTATAACAGTGGATCGATCCGACGCTTCTTCGATAGGGTCAAGATTGGATGGATTGTCGCTGAACTCCGAAACTTTCTCTTTTTCAAATGAAGCCAGTGTGTATCGTGGGCCCGGGTCTTTGTCACCTGACTGAAAATTTATGTAGCTTGGTGGTTCTGAATTAATTAATTAATTAATTAGTTAAACTTCGAATATCCGATGCTTTTTGAATGCAACAAATTAAATTTTAAAGTTACCAGGTATCTCGGGTCCAGTTGCCCGTTCTCTTATAAAACTTGAGATATCTTTTTCAATGTCACATGCTTCCAAAGAAACCCGAATAGATTCACTTGACTATAATGTAGAATTCTCGATTAACTATTCTATCATATTATTTGCTCTTTCCTCTTTTATATAAATTTCGATTTTTTACCTCATCATCAGCAACACAACTCTGAGAAATTAGATTTGCAAATTCCCACAAATGTGTCTTCAAAAAATGTATTCGCTCCTCTTCCATATATTGGAATTTCTAGTTTATAATAAATTATATACTCAGCTTTTTCGTGTAAAATTGTGGTATCATATAAAAGGTTTAGAATATGGATAATTACATCACATGCAACTCTCCAGTCATAGTTCCATCGTTGAATTGTCTCCGCCATACCTTTGATCAAAGATTGATATTCTTGATCTTTCAATGAGATTTTGATAACTTAATTAGTAAAATCCGATGTCTAATTTTAATTAAGATAACAGATAAAAAAACATACCAGAATTCTTGACAGCTATTTGACTTTTTTCTAACTTCATATTAAGCTATCGCCAATCAAAATCAAAAAAACCTCCGTAAATTAAATAAAGAATCACTCACAGAATCCTTTCAAATAACATTCTAAAAATGAGTCCAAACCTTTTCCAAATCTCTACCAATCAAGGTTCTTTTAGAAGCCATCATTGAATTAACTTTTATACAATCACTTTCATATTTCTCTTTTGCCTGTTTTTATTATTGTTGTTGTTGTTATCATAATTATATTATAATATTTTCAAAAATTACGATTGTTTAGTTAGAAAGGCAATTAATTAACATTAGTCTATTCAAATCAATTACCTGATAAAGAGAGGATGATGATATCTTGCATGAGACTTGCCTTTTGCAAATGAGAAGCGTGAGTTTGTTTTGTACGTAAACTCCGATCTAGAATTGTTGTTTGCTATACAGAAAACACATTATAATTAAGAGTTAATCTTCCCATGCAAAGTCAGAGTCAGAATTTAAAGATAGATAAAGAAATGGCGAATCACCTGTTTACGCCTGTCTTTTTGTAAAGCTGTAAAAGCTATTATTTTCTGTACGAGATCAGTCCGTATTTGTTGGGCGAGTTTTATATGTGATGAACCTGTCGCTTCGATCGCTTTTCGTGTGACATCAAACGATTCTCGTAGAGTGCTTTATTTCAAACATCAAGGTATATTAATAAAGATTTCTCGGAGTAATTAAAAGTGATAACTACTTACCCGATTTCGTCCTTGCCAAACTGCGATTTTGCTAATTTTAATAATCTTTTACCATAATCTTCTTCAATCGCAGCACTATACGAAATCGATATTAAGAATAAGACATGACATTGTAGATATTAGTTCAACATAAAATTAATGAAAACTACCGTTCTTGAAGCATATTTCTAACTTCCTCGCAAGTTTGTTTCGCTTGACGCATGCGCGTCATTAATACCTCATAGCCCACTTCGTCCCTACCCTTAAGTCCAAAAAATTTTCTGTCGTTATTCATTTCTATATGTAAAAATTTTTAATTAAAAATGAAAACCAACCCAAAAATAATTAGAAAAAGTTTCTGGACGATATACGTCAGTTTCGGCCTTTGAAGTCATTATTTTTAAAAATATAGTTTAGCGACTTCAAAAAGAACTACTTCGAACGAATATATATATCGATATTTAATTTGAAGATTTATATTGGAAGATTTATATTGGATATATTAAGGACGTGTGGAGTTACACGTTATTCATGTTTCACCAAGAGTTGCATATTTAGATTTTTTTATCGTTATATGAAATGTGCTTCTTGAAAGACCATTGTCAGTATTTGTTTGACAAGTAAACAAAATATTATTCTAGGCCATCGTTGTTTATTCACTGTTATTTATTTGATCCCAAATTGGAAATTAAATAAAAAAAATTCAAAACATTTTTATCTATATTAACAATTTACATTCAATGGAGTATTCTCTCAGGTTTCCAAAATTATTAAAGTTTAGCCCCGTAGAATTGGGCGACCTTCAATGATTGTCTCATTCCCAAATCAAGCATAATCTCCTCGGAACCTCCTGGGATCGCATAGGCACGTACTTCGCGATATAGACGTTCTACTTTTTCGCCTTGTCTATATTAAATATGTGCATAAATCATATATTAAAAAAACCATGATTTAATAAAATAAATTTGAAATATAAAAATTGACAATAATTACCCTCCACGAGTGTATGCTAAACCACCAAAGATTTGAGCAGCTTCACGTGCACAATATTCAAAGGTTTGTGTTGATTGAGCTTTCAAGAGAGCGATAGGACCACCAAGTCTAGTAGCGGCCTCCGTACCATGCAATTTATCTGTTTGGAAGATTAGTGCTTCCATCCAGGCATGCGTTGCTTCGATTTGACGTGCCATATGTGCCAATTTGTTACGAATTACGGGATGATCTACGAGTTTAGTGTTGAATGTCTTGCGTTTATGGGCATATTTAGTGGCTTCTTCGAAGCAAACACGTGCAAAACGATTAGCTTGAATAGCGATTCCCATACGTTCGTGATTGAAATTGTGCATAATACACTAATAAAAAATTAAAGTTTAAATTAGCTCATAATATATTTAAAAAAAAATACAAGAAAAATATTTTACCTTGAAGCCACCATTTACTTTACCAACAATATTAGTAACGGGAACTTTTACATCTTCAAAAGTGATATAAGCAGTACCAGATGCCCAAACACCAGAACATTGCATTTGTCTTGTCTTTACACCTGGCATGGTTCTTTCGATTAAGATTAACGAAATCCCTCCCATACCAGGTCCTCCGGTACGAACAGCAACGGTGAAATAATCGGCAAAGACACCATTTGTAATCCACTTCTTCTCCCCATTAACAATATAATGTTGACCATCATCTGTTAATTTAGCTTCAGTTCTAATGTTGGCAACGTCTGATCCAGCGTAAGGTTCAGTAATGGCAAGACAAATGAATTTTTCACCGGCAAGGCATTGTGGAAGAATTCGTCTTTTTAATTCTTCCGAACCAAATTTGGTGATTGGTGGAAGACCGATACCAAGACCTCCGATTAATCCCCATAATATACCACCGGATCCACATCGAGATAATTCGTCACAGATAATGAATTCGTGGAAACCGTCAAATTCTTCAGGTTTTACGCCCCCAGCTGGTTTGATGTTTTGTTCCTTCAGATAACTAGGCAAAGTTCGAGAACATTATGTACGAAATAAAGAAAATTTTGTATCACCTTACAAATCGATCAACAACTTACTCTGCTGGCCATGGAGCACCGCAAACACCCGGTAAAATACCGGCTTTTCCAGCTTTGATGAAGAGTTCATTTGGAATTTTTTTAGCTTCATCCCACTCGAAACAATTTGGCATAATCTCGGTATCAACAAATTTACGAACGGCCGCACGTAAACGACGATGCGAGTCATTGTAATATGGACTATAAAAGTCTTGATACCAGTAAGGGTCACCAAAGGGAACAAGGTCACCGAATGGTGCGTCTTCTGCACTCGTAACTTGATCTTCTTCTTTGGTGGCCGCGGCTTGAGCTGCTGCATCGCCAATCTCACCAATACACAATTGTGGTCCATATTTTTCAAGAACTGACGGCTTATGGAAGTTGTCGAATTGCTTTGTAGCGTCTTGACCACCTACTTTCTGCAATATCTTTTTGCCGCCTGGATGCTCATCAAGGAAATTTGTCACGTCATAAACTTTACCATGAACGATAATCCAAAGAGAGTCATTGTTTTTATGTTCAGCTACTTCTTCGACAGTAAACGTTTTTACCATTTTTATTTTTAATTTTCTCAGATACAAGTAGAGAGAAAAAATTTTATTATTTACGTAAAAAAATGCCTTTTTATTTGAGGTTAGCAACTAATCTTCGATAAAAGAGATGCCAGGATTTATATTAAGACGACAGATGAGGGCGCGATTAGGCAAAAAAGTTTTGTCATATTTTTCGCCGATTTTGATATCAAATTTAATGATGAATCATTTACGTTCTCGTGATGCAAGGAGTAAATTCCTTGACTCAGCAAGTTTCACAAATGTTCTAAACATACGATGAGATGTGCAATCAAATAATAACGATAATGATAACGGTTTTTTGATTGTCTATCAACCATTATTGGCGAAAAATTCGAATTCTTAAAACTCGTTCTAGCGAGGTAGTTCGATAATGGCTTATTTGGTAATTTCGACCACGAAAACGGCAAATATATCAGCAACAGCCTCAACAGTAAGTATTACAAAAATTAATTTTTTATTCGAGACTCCTGCATCTTTTTCTTCTGTGTAAAAAATATATCGAATCCGGGATTTAATAAATTTCTTTTTTTTACGGGTATTCATATTCATATGTTTATGATTACATCCAAATTAAGTAAGTAATTTATTTAATATACATATGCTAATCATTGAATTGAGGATGTTTTAACTTTTTCAACCTTGTCATCGCATCTTTATGCCCAAGAGATTTAGCTTCTTTAAGATATTTTTCAGCTAACTCTAAATCTTTTGGCTGATCATGTTCACCTTTCATTAAAATTTTACCATAGAGATATAATGCATTCTTGTCTTTAGCGTCAACAGCCTTCTTTAAATATATTAATCCATTGTCTTTATCATACGAGTCTCCAGTTAAACAGCTATATGCGTAACAATACTGAGCTTTAGTTGTATATGAATGTGTTGGAAATGCTGATGCCGATTGACGAAGATAACTAGACGCTTTAAGTTCATCTTTCGGAATTCCGTCATATTCCATTATAATATAATAACCAATAAAATATTTTGCCTCGTTAATGTATTCACCATTCTTCACGCATTCTTCAAAGATCGGAAACGCTTTATCAAACATCTTTTTATCATGAAGTTCTAATGCTTTTGCTGCAGAAATGTTTTTATATTGTGAATGAAGCCTATTAAGTGTATTGAATATATTCATGCTTTTTGGACGATGACTCTGTTGTGGATCCCAGGCTGCTGTCATAATTTCGATGTATGTCTTTGGTGTGTCCGAAGGAATTGGATCCGGGCGAGCGCCGGAAATTATTGTTTGGCGTATGTGATAATCATTTGTGATCGTCTCGTATGGTAATTTTTGAGATGCGATTTCCCACATTACAATACCAAAACTGAAAAGTAGAATATTTAACATTTTTGTGAAAATTAAATTAGCATTTATATTTGTTTACCTGTATATATCCATTTCCTTCGAATAAGGTATATAGTACTTGATTAATCTCTCCGGCGCAATCCATCTAATATCAGATTTTTATTAAACCAATAATATAAAATTAAAGTATTTATTTTTTTAAAGTACCTGATACTTTGAATTTTAAATTTTGTCGATTTGTCTTTAGCGAAGCATGACATTCTGAAATTGCTTAATTTTGGATTGTAATTTTCATCTAACAATACATTCGAACTAAAAAAAAAATAAAGGTTATTTAATTTATTGTATGCATTATATATGAAAATTTATTTTTATTTGATTACCTCTTTACGTCATGGTGAAGAATGTCGACTGAATGGCAAAAATTAATTGCAACCGAAATCCCTTTTGCTATCATAATTTTTTGGGCCCATGAAATATATTGTGCATTTCGTAAATATACTTCAAGGTTATTGTTTTCAGCCCATTCCGTTATTATATAAATTTCCTCTTTATTTTTAAGGGCACCATAGCTTTATAATAGAATATTATTTCATTTATTGAAAACATCAAATATTAATTTATGTTTTTGATAAAAGTTCAATTACTCACAATTGCTCAATATTTGGACATTTTTCCAGCTCCTTCCGAATATTTGCTTGTCGTTTAATTTCGTTAACGCCCATTATCCCAGTGACTTTACGTTGAGCAACTGGGGTCCCTTTATAGATTCTCTTTTGAATTTGGATGTTTGATCCTCGATGTATTTTACAATCAATTTTGTTGAAATCCGATTCTTGTAAAATTATTTTAATTGATAAGGAGTCAAATTCTCCAGCTGAATTTGTATTTGTGTTTAAATCATCGATTGCTTTGTCCAGATTTATTAGAAGCGTGTTTTCTTGATTATTGAAACCCTTAACGTTAAGAAAAATGATCGTTATTATTTTATTATATAATAAGTTAGAGTTCTAAAAGAATTTTAATTCACGTTTTTTGATTTCCTAAATGATATTGAAAATTTGCTCCTAAGCGAAAATGGTTTCTTCGGTGTATTAAGTAAATTCAATATGTCTGTTAAGATCCAACCGTAAATAAAATATATTTCCACATTATCTGATGTTGGCGGGTTGTTTCTCATTACATCACTTGCATTTTTGACTTTTTCCAATATCTTTCTGTTTCTTTTTTTGTGGTTTTTTGCGTCTTTAGAATTTTCAATTACTTCGTTCGTTATATTTGAAACAATTATTGCGATGTGTGTCAAGCCATCATTACTTGTTGGTTCTTGTGACATGTTTAGATTTATATTTTGTGATATCGAGTAAATTTTTGAGGAAGATGGATTTTCGAAAGGTATATCGCAATTTATGTCCATTTTATGTAAAAATGAATGTATATAATAGATAACTCATGGATATTGTAATAAAATAATGCGTTCAATTAAAGAATTAAAGATAGTTACGACGACGGAGTTTGCAATGTTATACTATTATTGTTTGTGTAATGATGCATGCGTATTACATGTTATTTTTCGAATACGGGCACGTAGAATAATCTAAACAATCTATGTTTTTTTTAATGTCGATATGAAAAATCTAAAATTTCTTTTATTTAGAATTAACTCGAATTTTTTTTAACTCTTTGTTTGCTTCTTTATGACCAAGGGATTTAGCTCTTTTTAAATAAGTTTCAGCTAATTTTAAATCTATTTTTTGGTCATGTTCACCTTTTCTAAAAATTTTACCATATAAAAATAACGCGTGTTTCTCATCAGCATCAGCAGCTCTCTTTAAATATTCCAATCCACTCTCCTTGTCATAACAAGATTCTCCGTTCAAGCAAATATACGCGAACCAATATTGCGCTTTAGTTGTATATAAATGCGTTGTTGATGCCGATTCGCGAAGACAAACAAAAGCTTTTTGTTCATCATTCGGAATTTTGTCATCATAATTTTGGTAAATATATAGACCGACCAGGTATTTTGCTTCGTTAACATGATCGCCACCTTTTGCGTATTCTTCGAAGATCGGGAATGCTCTTGCATATTGTTTATCATCGTGAAGCTGCACTGCTTCTCTCCAAGAAGGAAGTGTAGATGTATCATATGTAATCTCCATTAAATGTTCATCATCATCATTATTATTATTATAGTGATTGTTTACTGAACCGTTTCTATTCATTTCATACGACATAAGTGTATCTTCACGGGGCATGCATTGATATTCGTCGTGAAGTTCATTGAGGGTAGTAGATATTTCTTTGATTTTTGGACGAAGTAAGTATTGATGATTCCATGCTGCTGTCATAATCTCAGCGTATTTCGTTGGAGTATCTGCCGGAATTGACCCTGGACGTTCTCCTGACTTGACTACTTCTCTAACGTCGGTTTCGTTAGTAATTGTTTCGTATGGTAATTTTTGTGCAGCTATCTCCCACATTAAAATTCCAAAACTAAAAACACACAAATCTTAGAGTTAATACTTGTTTAATCATGAAATTATATTAATTTAGAAAAACAATGATACCTATAAATATCCATCGTCTCATTATAAGGTAAATAGTCATGATCAAATTTTTCTGGTGCTAACCACCTTTTAAAGATTCTCGAATTAGAATAAAGATGAAGATTGAACTAATAAAAATCAAGTAAATGCTCTTAATTAAATACCTCATAATTTTCATTTGACCTTTGATTGAAGTCGAACTTTCTGTCTTGAACCGAGCCAATCCAAAATTACTCAATTTTGGATTGAAGTTTTTATCTAGCAGGACATTAGAGCTAATGAATGTAAATATCAAAGAACGATATTTTTAGCTGTTTCAAAATAAAAACCAATTGACGTTCATTTAATTTACCTTCTCACATCATGATGAAAAATGTCAGACGAATGACAGAAAGTAAGAGCAGCTGCAATCCCTTTTGCGAACATGATTTTTTGATTCCATGGAATATCGCATGTATTTTCTAAATGCGTTTCAAGATCACCATTTTCAGCCCATTCAGTGACAATACATATGTCCGATTTATCTTGACCTAACAACACCCCGTAACTAAAATAAATAAATATATATATATATGTATATGTATTAAAAATACGAATTTTTATACTTTCACGAATACATAAATACTTACAATTGCTCTATATTCCCACACTTGCTTAATTCATTGAGAATCTTTGCTTGTCGTTCGATTTCCTTAAACTCTATTTTTGTCATGTCTTTACGCTGAGCCACTGGCACCCCCTTATAACACCTCTTTTGAATTTGGCCCCTTTTTCCTCTATGTTCACCTTGACCAGCATCACTAAAATCATCATCTTTCAACATTATGTTTTCATTACACTTGATATTAACACCTTTATTTAGATACATGAGATTTAAGCTAGTAACAAGATTTATGCTGGTAGCAAGCTTGTCTAACTTTGTGTTATTATCCAAAACTACGGTGTTAGTATCCAAAGCTACGAATAAATTCAAATCACTGATTGCTTGTTCTAATCGTGAGGTTAAATCTTGATGATATTCCAGATTCTTTTATAAAGATTAAGCGTAGGATTAAAAACATGTAATGGTTAATGTTATTATGAATATCAAACTTACATCGTTCGCTTTCCTCAAAGAATCGAACCTTTGCTTAAATTTTTCACTGAAACTCGAGGGTTGCTTTATTTCTTTTACATATTCTATTGCTTCATTTAAAACATCAATATAATTCTTATATTGGTTTTCTAAGGACTTGGAGACCTTTGGGTTGTTTTTTATTGTCTCGTTGGCAGCTTTAACTCGGTTTGATAGTTGTTTACAAACTTTTTTATGTCGTTTTGCATTTTCGGCATATTCAATTAATTTGTCTGCTAATTTACACGCCTTTTCTGCCAAAGGGAACATACTTAGAACGTTAGACACTCCATGTGCGCAAGCGATAAAAGTATCGGAGAAAAGTTCGTCATCGTTCATTTCATCACTCATTTTTGCAAATGAAGACAGACTGCATACACAACTCAACTATGAATTATTTTAAACATCCAGAAATTTCCGAAATACCACATTACATGTACATGTAATAATTTCCTGTTTCAAAGTTGCAAAAAGAGACCATTTTTATGCGTTGATGTATATGCATAACGTTGTCCAATGATATAAACTTATTCCATCGTTATATAACCTACTTATTGCAATTACCATCATTATCGCTATCGCTATTACTTTTTTTTTAACTACTTGTTATAGACATTATGCGTAACGTGGTCCAATGATATAACTTGCGCGAAAGTAATTGTGACGCTTATCATTATTTATATCACTTTGTTACTAAAGTCGGACATGGCTGAAAAGAATTTTAATATTTGAAATTGAAAGTATTTTACAAGCGACAAGTAAACGAGAACAAAAATATAACAACAAATTCGACCAAGTTTAGAAAAGTGGTTTGTTTAATCGTAATCAAAATCCAAGTCTAAAAGTGAAAAATTTTAAGCAATGTAAGTAAAGAACGCGGTGATATTGAAATAATAAATAAATTTTGCTCACTTGACGAAATTTGTAATTCCATAGAAAAAATTTGTGAACTATTTGTTGGTTCTGGAAGATTATCGAATTTAAGTAATGTGCTCGTATGTGTTTTACTCGGATCAATCGGATCAAAAGAATCTAATTTTCGATTGGCGCATTCTCTTTTAGCAATCCCATCAGCTTGGTCAAATTTTGCCAAGCATTTCGCATTTGACCAAAAGTTTTTTATTTGTTCGCTTATTTGACGAGCAGTCGGTCGTTTTTTAGGGTCAGCATCCCAGCATTGTTTGACGAGTTCTACGTATTCTTTGGGTGTCCCGTCAGGGATAGAAGGACGTAAACCTTGACAGATGCTCATTGCTAGATTCGAATCGAATTTAACACCTGAAAAAACCGGTATCCCACCGTTTGCCACTTCTGATAGTACAATACCGATGCCGTATATATCGCTAATTTGAAAGTGTTTATAATTACTTAACTATAAAATGTAAAAAATGTTATTAATAATGGTATAGCATACCTTGCTTGAGAGTATTGACTACCACATAAAACCTCTGGCGCCACGTAAGGTAATACGCCATATATCCCTGATTCTTTTGTATGACCTTTGAGTGATAAGGAAAGACCGAAATCTGCGATTTCGGCTTTTGCGCCATTTTTACATAATATATTACCACTGTGCATGTCCCTATGCACATATCCATCATCGTGAAGCAAACATAACGTTTCTAAAGCTCTGTAAATTAAGATTAATTTGTTTCGCCATTTCATTTCAGGGTTTTTTAGCAAATAACTTCGTAAGTCGCCGTTTTCTGCAAAAGGTAAAACGATCAAATAGGCTTTGGTTTCAGGATCTTGAGATATACCGAAGATATAGCAGTTCTCAAAAGCATGTAAATTGATTTCATATAAACAACTGAGCTAAAAAAAATTGGTTATTTATTTACACGATAATTTTTTTTCTTATATGATATATTATCATTTTACCTCATTCAAAATTTCTTCCACATCAATTGTACTATTTGCACGTTTTATTGCAACATCACATTTTTGTCGGCTATATTTTCCATTACGATCAATAACACGTTTTCCTGTTGTCCATTCCGCTTTAAATACTGCACCAAATCCACCTTCTCCAATTTTCTTTATTCCTTTAAATTGTTCATAAGGGATCCATTCCATAAAGTTTGAGTCCCATTGAGTAGAAAATGATTGTGTTTTCTTTATTAATTTATCGAGACTTGCAATTCCGCTAGTCCAACCTTCACGAAAGATTTTCGTGTCACAAGTTGGGCACCAGAATCCTTCTAAATCTTTGCATTCTGAACAACCTTCTCTTTCATACAACTTGTTCATTTCTATTTACCTATCTAGATTTCTAATAATTTTATCTTTATTTGCAGTGTATAACTTAAAATTTTTGTATGTTCGTAATGGATTAGGATTTGAATAGCCCGAGGTAAATCAGTAACAATATTTATATGAAATATCGACAACATGTAGTAGATTCTTCCTATCATATAGGAAACAAAGGCAATCGTGGTAAGCTTCGAACAGTACAGTACAGAACGCAGATGCATTTATGAAAGATGAACGCATGCATTATCCTTATTATTGTTTATTCTATTACATAAGTAGATATTGTCAATTAATTAACGTCTCAAAAAAGTCTTTGTTATCCAAGATAAAGAATCGAAATTTCTTTTCTAATCTGTTTTACCTACTTGTAACGGTAAACACTTATTTTCATACTGTTTCACCTACTTGTAACAGTAAACGCTTTATTTTCATAGAATTGTTGTTTCGGTAGTCGTAATAAAAAATGTCGGCATCGATTGTTTAATTGAGCAGTATTTTTGTGATAAATACGTCAGCTCACGTAATCTTTGCTCTGAATAATTTGATTTACTCTTTCGATCTGGTGGATTGTTTATTAACTTATATAACAGAAACTTGTTTTGTGATTATAGCATCCCTTGCCAAAATGTCTCTCGTTCAATTTTTTGTTTATATGATATCTGCTTCGTTCATTTCCATTGTAACTTTTATTGCTGGAGTTGTGGTATGTTGAAAAACTTTAATGAAAATAAACTTCAAGGCCTTCTTCTTACCGCTTATATTATCTTAGCTACTTACAAATGCTGGCGTTCTTATGATGGTCATGTTCATCAGTTACATCGGTAATCTAGAAATCGAAGGAGTTATTCTAGCCCTAAAATACTTTGAAAATAACGGTAATCAATCGTACGACAGTCACATATACATGTATAAACATACTAAAAGGTTACTATTTTTTTTTAGACAAATCTATAGCAAATTATCAGGAGAAGAATGATTTTTTTCAAAGGGTTCCTAAAACTGTGATCCTAAATATCTTTAGTTTTTTGAAACCTAAAGATCTTTTTTCTTTTGCAAAGGTAAATCAATTTAAATTCTGTCTATTTCTTTCTAAAATTAAATTTAGTTCTTTTTTTTTTAATTTATATTAGACTAGTAGACACCTTCATAAGCAATTAGAAAGCGAAGACTTTTGGGAGTTTATTTGTAAAAAACAATTCGATCCACTTCATATCGAAGATGTACAGAACACCCTAAGGAAAATTAAAGAAATAAAACTAATATTAGCAGAAGAGACATATGAGACAATCCTACAAGCGATTGAAAACGAAATTTTTGAATGGAAATTTCTATACAAAAAACTTTGTGAGTTTGTAAAATTATTTCTTTTTCTTCTTTCCTTCATTGCTAATTTTTTATTATTAGCATTTATGTGTCGATATATCTCATATGAATCACATGTCGCTGATTACGATAATCCTGAAAACTGGACAATTGTAAATTCAGAAGAAAGGTTTGTAGGATACACATACTTTTTCAAAGCAACTTAATCAAATAATAAAGAATATTTCATCATTTAGTGAATTTGGTCAATATTATCATCTCACAAATATTTCTTGCCTTCAAGTAAGAAAATGTTTAATTATTCTTGTTTACTATATAAATATCTTATTTATTAATTTATTTTTATCAATAGGTAGAAATTGATTCCCCTCCTGTTTTACCTGGAAATTACGATATAATTTGGCGACTCAGAATTAATCCAAAAACTTGTAAGAATTTAGAGAATATAGAATTTAGTGTAGAAATTATTGAAAGAGTACGTTTTCCTTAGACATGTTTTCGAATCATTTATTTACATAGATACTTATCATAATTTGAATTACAAATAGGTCCATGAAGTGTCCACCATAGGAGAATATATAGATTTTCCTAAAGAATTCATAAAACCGCTTGTTCCTGGACAAAAGCTAATCAGCATCCTTAAAGAAAAAGGTGACTGGGTCGAATATTGTTTACCGGTACAAGCCAGATTTGTCCCTCAAGAAGTCTCGATTCCAGACATCCCTACTACTTTTCATTTACGATGCAAAATATTCGAAGGCAATGACGTGCTGAAGAGCGGACTGGTAACTACATTATGTGAATTATTTTGTGGATTGAATCAAAATGTTTTGAATATTAAAAATATTTATATATTCCATTTTTGTAAAAGTCGATTGATTACGTTCGCTTGCGTTATCATAATGATCAAAATATCACAAGTAATGAAAGCGATGATAGTGAAGAATAAAAGAAGAAACAATATATTAATGGACAATTTTCTTGTGGCATATTATGTAAATTTTACCAAAAAAATCGCAGCAAGATCGGGACACAACTAATACGTATTTCGTGACTGAAAAATATTTTATAAAAAATCTATATTTCAAACGTTTTACGTATATGTGTACGTCAACTAATAAAAATTTAGACGTCGTATCGCATTTCGACACCAATTTGCCTAATTGTCCAAATACGTAATGCAGAAATCATCAAAAATACGTAATACCGTAATCATGTAATCTAACTGTCAAATACATGTACATAACAAATTTAGGAACACGTGAATTTAAAAATACGATGTTAATAAAATAAATTCTTTTATTTATAAAAAATTATTCCGATAATTTGATATCTAATACTAATATTAAGACAGTAGACACTTAATATTTATTAAATGTAAAAATATTAGACACTGCAATTATGACATACTTTGAGACTTCTTAATATTTGTATCGTCGAAAAAATATTTTCGGAGCTGTTGATATCGACACCTCACTGTTAACAACATCGATCCATATTTCAACAAACTAGGATGTAGTTATAAATATCATTAACTTGCATAAAAATAAAGCATTGTAATCGGAAAATTTATTTATCTGCCAGTTGAAATAGCACACGTTTAATAAAGTTCACAATAAAATAACGAAAATAAATTAATCTACAAATATATGTTAAAAGACGGAAATATAAATAAATATAATTTCTATTACTGATCATAGTTTAAAACCAATAAAATATACAGCAGTTCATAAATTATGTTGTTATCGATGTGGATAATTACCATTTGTTCGACAAATAAAATAATAGTTGAAAGATACGAAAGGCTCCATTCCAAGCTCAGTAACCACTATCTTCAATTCACACATCTCTTTAGATATATTTTTCTATAGAGTCTTCCAGTTGGAAGCTTAATTCAAATCACACAATTAATTTTCAACAAAAATTGAAGAGATCCAAGACCCAACACGAGATAACATTCACTGATAATACAGTATGGTAAAGATATTGCAGTTTCATGATGGACGGACAAAACTCGTGAATTGATTAATGGTTATGTTCTTGTTAGAATCTGATTGATTTGATGAAGTCTAAGCTTTTTTTAGGCATCGTTTCGAATTGGTTATTGTTGAGATATTCCTTTTAAAATGAATAATCTTGTTTTATATTTGCATCGTGGTTAATAACAATAATAGCTTTCCAATCCATGATCCTTTATTATATAGTTTCATCGATAACTTTGTGTTTGCATTCGATCGACACCTTTAATCTCTGTCTGAAAGTCGCAATATATTGTTATTATTGTTATTGTGCCTGTTAATTGTAATATAGTCATCTATACATACACATCCCTACATATACGTATATATTTTTTATTGCTAACATTTTGTTGCCTTTTATATTTTTCTGCATACTTACAATACCACCTTCTAAAAGAAGAAATGTCAAGGAAGAGAACAATTTTGCAAGCAAGCGATAAAAAAGGTTACCAATTACGCTTGGATAATGAATTTATCCATGTTTACACAATCGGAGGAAAGTTGTCAATACGTTTATAAACATAAAGAAAGTGATCCAAGTCTAGATTTTATACGAGCCTCACAGAGAACACAGTACCCGGAAGACAGCGAATATGAATTTATTTTAAGAGTGAACAAAGCATTTGAATCAGCCTCCAATAAACCGCCCACGAGCAAAAAGATGTTTTTATT